GTGAAGTTCTGTGTAAAGTAGAAGGACTTTTGCCAAACTTTTTGAATAAGAAAAGAAAGGCAATCACTGTAGTTCTTTTAACTTAATGAGATTTTTTTATTTTTTAAGCTAATGATCCTTTATCTGGAGGGACTCTGGGATGTTACTCAAAGGATGACTATTAATACATCAAAAAAGCACTGTTAAATAGCATTTCTTTCAGAAGACCAAAAGATTTCACCAGCCATTCACCATCTAGATGTTATTCTGGAACAAGGCCCAAAGGAGAAGCTCAAAATTTAACTCTCTGTTTCATGTTTTAAGGAACTTAGTTTAAGATCCAAGTGAGCTGCTTTAGTTTCAAGCCTGCACCAAACATACAAGCAGGAGCCACCTTATTTTTGGAACTGATTTGGTGGCAATACAGAGGAAGAACTCTATTGGGAAAGCTGGTGTTGTTTTGAAACATACCTGATAAGCCTCTGAAATTAGGAGCCCCCACATTAAAGCTAAGGCAGATCTCAGGTTAGAATTGCCTCATTCTCTGTAATTCCAACTTCTCAACCCTCGTCTAGAAACCAACAGACAGCAATCCATTACAGCACGTCCCAGCAGCAGCCCAGGAGTGTCCCTCACTCCTCTGTCTCCTACCATTCCATAAAACAAGAAAACCAGAGCACAGGAAGACCTGTGGTGCCTCTCGGTATTTTCACAGATCCCATCCTTTTGATGCTTGATTTGCCTCAGAGCTTTTTGCTACGGCATGAAAGATTGTTACAGCCCAAAGAAAAGGACTGGCTCCTGTCAAACACGGGACAGCAGTGCTCACCTGGGCTCCTCTGGAGTACGACCTGAAAATGGTGCAAAATCTGCCTTGCCCCGACGTGTCCCTGAAACAAAGAAAGCCTATGAAAGGTAGGAAGAAACAAATCCCGGACTCCACACCTCCCACTGAGCTACAAATGGGAAAAGTGGCACCTTACAAGAAAGGGAAACACAAAATAGAAGGAGCGTATGCAATCACATAGGGCAGAGAGATAAATGAGCTGTTTGTTAGAAAAATGAGGACATCAGTTCCTGAGAGAGCAGGATTCTAATTAAACCATGAAATCATACACCCTTAGAGTCAGTCTCTGAGGCTGAGAATGTGTCATTCATTCCCAGTGTAACAGTTCACACAGAACACTAATATTCCAGTTATTTCATACACGCCTTGGTAGACAAGTTTGCTTTCATGTTTCAGGACCTGTGTCACTCCCTACTCGATCCAGCTGAAGCACAACAGGGGCAGGCTATTCCTCCTGCACTGTTGGGGCATCTTAGCAGTTTATATCTCAGAGCAGGACCAGATGGGCTCCAGCTCTTCTTCCAGTGCTGACAGGTAAGGAAGGGTCACCTCTATGTGCAGTGCTCTCACTTCTCCATCCCAGTGCCAGGGATACACCCTGCTCTCCAGGCACTGACTGTATGGTGACCAAGTCATGGACAAATCCAGGCTTCCGCAGGAACTGAGGGCTTTGTCCTCCTAATTCTATTTGTTTCTCACTCTAGGATTTCAGCTGAGTCCAGTATTACCTTCAAAACAGTATCACTCCCTTAGAGCTGTATGGGAATGGAGTCGGCTGTGGTGGAGAAAGGCTGAAATGGAACCACTTTGGCAAAGGACAGCATGCTGCTGCTGCTGCTCCGTCACAGAAAGGGGTCTGATTCACTAGGATAACTGACTGGGTAGAGGAGCTGCCAAGCCTCAGCATACAGCCAGGGATGCTCTGCACTGGCCATGCTGTGGTGCAGCTCAGAAGCCAAACTCACCAGAGCTCCAGCTTGACCCTTCTGCCGTCCAGCAGGATGGTAGTAGTCTTGTAGTCAATTCCTAAAGAGAAAAGAACAGGGGTCAAACAGGCAGGGAGGTGGTGATGCTGAGAAGCCTGCCCAGAGAACGCAGCTGCTGCTTTCCGACTGCAAGGACAAAAGGAGTGAAGAACTACACCATGCACACCTGCTATGCTTGCTAATAGAAACATGCAAATTAAACTGTTTACTTCATTAAACAAGGAAAGCCTCAAACTCGGCGATGGAAGAACTGACTCAATGTGAATGTATTTTGGAAGAACGTTACTTTTTCTATTACCATCCTCTACACTCATCCTTGAGGGCACAGCAGCCCGTACTGCAGAGCAACGCAGGGCAGTCAACGTGAGCGTTGGGTTCCAGTGAGAGAGAAGCCCAGAAACCCTCAGTTACAAGCCCCACCACGGCACAGCCATGCTCCATCACCTCTGCATTTCATTTTCCTTCCTCTCAGCAGGGGAGCAATGTGAGGGGTTTCACATTAGGGCCACGTGTGTCTGCGAATCAGGCTGATGCAACTTCAGGAGGCTCCTCCAGCAGCTCGGCTGCTGAGCAGGCAGGGGCAGAGCAGGCAGAAGGCACTCCCTCCTCAACAACAGCTGAGAAAACAGCACGGACAACTGCTTCCCATAGGGCCCCAGCTCCAGAGCAGCAGAAGACCCCGAAATTACAGCCACATGAGGAGTGCCCAGCACCTTCAGACACAGATTTTGTGCACAGCCACCCTTCCTGCAGCTTCCCTGCAAGCTCCTGTACATCTGGTTGATCTCTACCACTTGCTGCACCCACTGGAGAGCACGAAGTAATTTACAGCCATCTGTAGCAATGCCAAGTAACTTCCCTCCGATTGCATCAGCTTCATTCTCTCCTCCAGCTACTAGATATCAAACTCTGAACATGTATTAAAAACTCACTGCTGAGTAACCACCTGTATGTCCCTTCTGCAACAACACTGCCCTGAAAACCAAACAGACAAGTTTGTCAATAAGGCAAATGGATTTTTGTCTGAGTCATCAGCAGGAGCTCCCTGTTAGAGAGAAACAAATTAGATTTCAGTCTTCGCAGGGTGCTATAAAAAGCAATCAAGATAATTATCTTAAATTCCAACTATTTCCAGTGCTTTATCACAGAAAATAGATAGTTTACTTTTTATCGTCCTCCAGAGACGAGTGGTTTGTATTTATTTGCTTGGCAGATATAAAACCCACATCCCTGGGGACAGCAAGCAGCAGTGAGCCTGCTCCATGCCCACGAGAGAGCAGAACATCCCTGTGAATCCTCTTAGCTCCCAAAGCGGGGCAAAGAGGCATCAACACCCAGCACCTCGTGCTCACAGCACACAAAGGAGGGCACAAGGGCTGGGTTTCACACTCTGGGAGCTGCCAGTCCCCTGGTCCACGCACAGCTCCTCCTGCACATCGCAGCTGGAAGAGAAGAGCAGCGGCCTTTGAGGATGGCACCGCTGAAGGACCGCGATGAAATCAGCCTGAGGAAGCTGTGTGCACCCAAGCAAAAAGCAAAGCTGTTTTGTCTTTTTATTCTAGGCTACAATCAGCATTTAAACACACGTGGTAAAGTAAGCTGGAAACTAGAGATGCCTTCCAGGCTGGATGTGGCTCTGGGCAGCCTGGTCTGGTGGCTGTGACCCTGCGCATAGCAGTGGGGCTGAAACTAGATGACCCTTGTGGTCCTTTTCAACCCATCCCGTGATTCTTTTGTGTCCAACCCACATACACTCACACTTGAATTGAGGGCTAAATGTACAAGTTACTTTGAGCAAAAAACCTCCACCTACAAGCTCAGTGGTGAGAACAAAGACTGTGCAGCTGCAACATCTGTGACAGCTTCAGCTCTGCTTCCCCTCTGCATGCACACAGTGCATCAGGCACATCAGCTCAAAGGGACCCTTCCATTAAAGCTTGCACCTAACTGTTCTGGGGAGGGATCTGCGCTGCACTGGCTCGGTGCTCAGAGCAGGAAGCAGATCCTATGTGACACAAGCCAAACTCATGTGCTGCTGCCCTGCCAGCCACAGCCACCCCTGAACTCAATGCAGCACTGAGGGGGATGCAGAGCAGGGCTGCCCCTACCTGGCCCTGTTCGAGGCGCTGCTGTGCAGCCTAGGCTGGAGCTCAGCTCCTTGTCCCAGAGCTGCTGCCTGGCCGGGCACAGCAGCCACTAGATGTCATCGTCGCCCAGAGCGCTGCTGGCGGTCTGATGCTCCCAGCCAGCCACGCTGTACCACAGATTTTTATTTATTTATTTATTTCCATTTTGGGCAGCTCAGAAACTGATAAACTCAGCAAAGGTGTTAAATTTTCCGTCCTGTAGTCATCAGTGGTTTCCCCAACCCGAGCATCACCTCAGCTGGCAGCCGCATACGGCTCATTTCAGGACTGCCATTTCAGCTCCTCCAGCAGGGATGCACAGCCACAACCCCACACCACATCCCTGCAGCCTTCCTGGCCTCTCTGCCACCCGCCTGGCCCCCCAGACACACAGCCCTGCAGGAGGCAAGCAGCCCTGCTGAAAGCTCAGCAGCTATCAGCCCATCTCTCTTGACCAACACCAAGCATGATGTAACCAAACTAGCGACGCTCGGTGAACAAGTCGGGGCTGTTCCCTGTGATTTAGCATTCAGTCCAACCCCTCTGCTATTCTTCTTCAGGCTCCTGCTTACACCGATGCCAACATGACCCCACTGTTGGAGCTGCCAGCCGGCCTGGCACGCAGCAACCTGTTGTCACCACGGCTGGGGACAGACACCCCGCTCCCCTCCCAGGGCCGGGCTTCACGCACGAGCACCATAATCACTCCTGGGCAAAGCTCCAGGGCATCCCAACCTTTATCCCTTCTGCCAGGCAATATATGGGAAACCTGCCCACCAGCCACTTTCCCATGGGAATGGGCAGGGTGTACATAGGAATCTCTGACCAATTCCAAATTACTCATGCCAACACAGGATGCTTCACATCAATGCCCGCTGAAACAAAACTCGGACGAGTTAAAATTCGAGCTTTCAGCTGTGAGATTACATCTGATGTAACCAGGAAAAGCAAAACCCCGCCAAGAAGTGACACTTTTCTTCCAGCACTCGACAGCACTTCGTGGTGGGGCTGCCAGCATCCTTCCCCTGGGAACTCACTGCCCTGCAGGACGTGTCCTGACACCATCACTGAGCACTGGGCACCCTCTGCACAGCAGCAGCATGCCAAAAGCCAAAGTCAGAGCAGGACAAGCAGGCACAGGGGCTGAGAAGTCACTGGAAAAGGCAGAGAGATAACAGGGATGTGTACTTCATGCTGCTCTCGAGCTGTATTTCAAGCAGTTCTTGAGATCTTCCCTTCAAATGATGAAGATATTGAGAAAATTGCTTCAAATGTTGAAGCGACCAATGCTCTGTACTGCTGTAAGCACAGTGGTTCTTTATGTAAGTTCCTGCTCTAGAAAAAAGGAGTTTTGCAGTTGTAGGCTCTCAAGGCTGACCCTGCCACAATCTCCTGCACACATCTCCTGTCCGTACAAAGCAGGATCTGCACAAACTCTTCTCAATTTTCCTACAAAACAATCAGAACAGCACACAGATTATTTTCTCCTTTGGATTTCTGAGACAATCCTCAGCAGGTGTTGGGATGAAAACGAGTCCAGCACTCCTTCAACAGAGGCAGCGTGGCAGCTGCCAGAGCCAACAGTGCATTTTAGGTCTCTGAGTACCATCCTCCCTGAGAGAGGCTCTGATAAGCCAACATGTTTGCCCTACAGGTGGGCAAACACACAGGGAGCTGCCATGGCAGAGGAGAGGGAGAGCTGCCCCCATTGCAACAAACTGCCCACAGGGTCCCCAGGACTTTTCTCCATATCAGCACTGCACCAGGCTGGCAGCAGCTCCAGCCTCTGCCTGTCATGTCTCAAAACAAACAGCCAAACACAAATGTAGTTCATATATGAATCAGGAGCAAAGGGCATTCCAGGTGACATCCAAAAATCACTTCCCAAAGGAAAGGAAAAAATGTGGTGTGTTCAAGTGAGACACTGGCACAGTTACAGATAGTTTCTGTCCTAGTGCCACTCTGCTTATCCCTTACAGTGGGTGCAAATCAGAGCAACCCTTTTGCTGCTTCAGTCATTGCTGGGGTTTGCAGGGCTCAGTTTTGGGGCCAGTTCTCTTTGATGTCTTCTTCAACTTGGATCCAGGGCTGGAAGACACACTGAGTCAGTTTGCAGAAGACACTGAACTGGGAAGAGCTGCTGCTTCCCTGGAGGGAGGAAAAGCATTGCAGAGAGATCTTAACAGATTAGAGGGATGTGCATTGGCAGCCACGTGAGGAATAACAGGAGCAGTGCTGGATTCTGCACTGGGATGGGGCAGCCCTGGGCACTGAGTGGGGACACGACGCTGAGATGCAGCCCCAGGAGAGGGACCTCAGAGCAAGGCCAGGAGCCCACTTCTATTTGAGACAGGGCAGCTTGGCCATCAGTACAACCAAAGCCAATGTGCCACAGCTGTCTAACTGAAAACATTCAGTTTCCACCCAGACATTCTGTTCTCTTACAGATCATCAGTTCTGCCGAGTCCAGAGGAAGGCCTGGGTCCACATTACCAGGTATTTACTAAGGTAAATAGGCTCATGTTGCCAGCATCTGATGGCGGGAGGGATGGGATCCTTCTCAAGCCCCACCACTCCCCTACAGCAGCAACTCCAGGGACACCTGAATTCACCTCTGCAAGGACTCCAGCCTGACCTGGCAGCCCGCACGCCCCTGCCCTCCTTCCCCACTCACCCTGCGTGCTGCTGGAGAACAACGCGGCACGCACCGAGCAGCAAACCCCCAGAGAGCAGGCCTTAGTCCCCACTGGGGAGCAGAGAGAACAGGCTTAGTGCCACCCTGGCCAGAGAAAAAGGAAGGAAGAAAAGCAAAGCTGGAACCTGAAATAGAGAACACTTCCAAGATTCAGCCGCCTCCAATTTCAGTGTCCTCAGGTAACCGGAGCCGGTTGCAACACGCCGCGTTCAACAAGATGCTTGGGAAAAAGCAGAGCAGGTCTCTGAGCATATGGCAAATAAATAACTGGAAAAACGTGAAGACACACTGTGACTGCAGAGCAGGAGAACGTCGGGGTAAGGAACAAACCTTGTTTCTCCTCACAGCGGGGCAGCAACGAACACCTCGCAGTCAGCGTGGTGCACTGCAGACTGCAGCAAATGTGAGGCACGAGAGTCAGGGAAATCCGTACTCAACAGACGAGCAAGGATCAGCAGTCACAGCATCCCATGCAGCTGCACTTGTGGCAGTGAGAGCAATCACATAAAGACGTACACGTCAAGAAACACTTCAGGGCGAGCCAATGGAACAAGTCATCTTTTGTTCTCTTCTTTAGAAAGATGTTCAGAAAAAAATCTTCAGTAAAGTTTCTTAATCAGAAGGACTTTGAGAGGTGCAGCTAAGCAGAGAGGGATAATACCATCGGTTGGTAACCTACAACATCAAAATAATACTGTGGAGCCCAGCAAGAACACCATAATTAATACTGAAGTTTTCAGTCCCAGCCCAGATGCTGCTGGGGAGCAGAACCAAGCTTGGCACTGCTCTGTGTTCCGGTACAGCCAGAGAGATGGTTAGAAATGCTGTCAGTTTCATCTGACAGCAGGATAAAGTGAGCTCACCGACCTGAGACCAACACAGGCAAAAATGCTGATGGAAAGCACCCAACGCACCCGCACACACCTGGGAGGTGCGGTCAGCCTCTGTGCTGGAAATGCTTCCCTGTGTGTGCCAGACAAGCTGCTGGAAGCTCCCTCCCTCTCCTCCACGCAGAGCTTGTGCAAACCTTTCAGGTAGACGAACAGAGAAGAGACAAGCAGGTTATTAAAGCTAAGCAAAAAGCAGCGCAGCGAGCAGCACGTCTGAGGGGCTCCGTTCATAACGGCATTCCTGTGCTCTTCAGCACAGCCTGAAGCAGCCAGAGCAGAAACTCATTTATCCCAAACGTCAGCAATAACTGAGAAGTGCTCAAAGACAACCTCTACCCTGCCAAGTCCCTGGGTGTTACAGATGTTAACAAGAAGTTTCCCAGCCATGACTGACGTGGCTGGGTTTTAACATCTCACCCGGGCGGGTGCAGCACACAGCAGACATGCAGCTCCAGCCAGCACACCTCGCCTGGCTGAGCTTCCATGGGGATGAGACCTGCTCACAACAGGGCTTGGGCCCCGCTGGGAAGGCTGAGCACCAGGAGTTTATCACCAAACCTCTCCTGGGCAGAAGGCAGCGCCGGGACCAGCGCTGAACCGACTCTGTGCTGCCTGTAAGTGGTGTTAAATCATTCAGAGAAAGGTGGTATGAGCACATAAGCAGTAGCTGATGAAAAAAAAGCGAATTTCAATCTGTCCAAATAACGAGTGATGAAGTCATCCGACCTTAAAAAGCGTGTGCAACAGCACATTAACAGCAGCAATTGAGCTCGTCAGCTCAGAGCTGTAAGCCACAGAAAAATCCCTTCCAAACAACACATGAGCTCATCAGCTTGAGTCATGCATTCAATTACCTACTCCTCACATAGACAAACAACAAATTATCTTCATCAGCAACGGGGGTCAACAAAACATATGGCTTTGAACAAAGATGGCTTCATCTCAGGTCTGTGCCTTTTGGCACTAACACACCTCGCAGCATTGCTTTGTTGCTGTCAGCACGGTGATAAAGTTCCTGAACAGCAGTGCTGCAGAACAGCCCAGGCTGGTGACTGCAGGGGTGGAGCAGAAGGCCACAAAGCAGCACTCCTACTGCTGTGCTGCAGCGTGGTGTGATGGGAAGCCACCTTCAGAACAGGCACCAGAGGTCTCTGCTCCCAGCAAACACCCTGATCAGCGCTGCTCCACGCAGGGCACAAGGGGCCATTTGCTCCAGCCTTCATCACCTCCTCCTCACAGCAGCAATCCAAGCCCTACTCCTGCTGCACAACCCGATGCGAAGCGACTCAGCTCTGAGCGCATCACAGCTGGGATGGGAGACTCACAAGAATGTTTCCCAAGTGCTTTGTTCCCAAGCATCCAGCTATCGACTCCAAGGTAGCCACCTCAGACCAGAAATTGCTTGTTTATAGCCAGCCAAAAGCAAAATGTGTATTCACTCCCTGCAGGATGCCCAGCCCCGCTGAGTGCTTCGCCTGCCAGCTGCTGCTCCGCGTCCCAGCGGTGCTTTGGCAGCACTGGATACCCACAGAGGAACTGTTCCACGCTGAGGATGACATCTGTATCTGAAATCTGTATTTGGAGCCAGAAGCAAATCTGTTCCTGGAACTCCAGCCATTTCAGTGGGCACCCGGCAAGCTGCTGAAACAGCCACAAGACAGTCCAGAACTGGGAATGTTAAGTGGATTTGTTCTTTAGAAGAACATCAAGATTGAATTTATGCACAGAAGCTTCTACAAACAAAAGAGTTTCTTCATCCTCGGCAGTTCTGATGTCCATAAAAACCATACAGCTGCACCCAGAAACAAAGGCAGCCAGTGAGGATGCATGGCAGGGCACCATAACAATCAGCATTGTTGCTGGGTCACCATACAAACATCAAGATGCACTCGGAGACAAAAACAACAACAAAAAATCATTCAAAAAGAGCTAAGTTATTGTGTGAAATACCTTCAGTACACTGCCCTCCCAGTGCTTAATGCGGGCTCCTCCTGACACCACATGCATGGACTCCCTGCTCCTGTGCCTGATGCAGGTTCTGCCTGTTGAATGGACCCACTGCAACTCCACACAGCAGTGCTGCCTGCTGTCCTAATGGGGAGGGAGAGAAGAAGTCCAGAAGGGTACAGCCATGTGCAAGGGAGCACTCCTCATCAGCAGGACCCCCATGTGAGCAAACTCAGTCCCAGAACTGCCATCACATCCTTAGTGCTACTGCAGCCCCTGAAGGATCACACAGACCTCTGATGCTCCCCATGGGATGGGGCTCTCAGCACAACAGTGCAGGCGAGCTGAGATCTCATATCAGAGCTTCCTTGCTCCTCCTCAGCCCCAAATCAAATAGAAAGCTGTACAGCATAATACAGCACCCTGCTTGCCAGGCCTGGGCTGTCAGAGGGCAAGGAGGTGAGAGCAAAGCAAGGCTGTAAATCCTTGGCTCGGAAAGCTAAGCTCGTAGTGCAGCTGTTTGTGAGTGCACAGAGAGATGCTCTGCTCTTCAGTGAGAGGGAGGGAAGGAAGGAGCTGCTGAGGAGAGCGTGCCAGGGAACAGCTGGAAACTGGAGCTGAGGGAGATGGGGCAGAGAAGGAAATTTTATGTGGGCTTTCCTATGTGGTTTAGATAGGAAAAATAGACACCACCAGAAGCAGACTCATCTTGGAATCGGGTAAAATGGAAACAGAAGAAACAACCCTAAAAACAACAAAGAGAAACCTTTAACTCAATTCATTAGAAGAGCATTCTAGCCATTCCAGATTTACAGTGCTAGGCTCACATCACCCTGGGGGCTTGAGGTTCAGAGTCCCCTACCAGCAAAGCTCTTATTCAGGGTCAGGAAGTGCTCAGCTCCCCTCCCCAGGAGGGCACCTGGAAGGTGACACACATCACCCAATGCACTGAGCACCCCCTATCCTGACTTAAAAGACAGCAGAAGACATCCAGACCTGCTTGGGACTTGGGCCTGTTTGGGCTCTAAAGCCACAGCCGGGCAGTCCCACAACAAACAGAGACAGAGGATCAATGCAGTATACCCAGAATTATTATCATCATACAACAAAGGAAAAGAAATAAAGGAGAGAGAAACAAGAGATGCTGGAATTGTTTCCAAGCCACAGCCTGCTCCAAAGAGATCAGTTTTGCATCCCTGATGACACGGAAAGAACCATCCCTGAAGGACACGGGTGCAGGCGCTGGCAGACACACTGAGCTGGCTGACACACACTCCCCACTCTTCCATAGCTGGAAGAGATTTCCAGCAGCACGGCTGACCTGGAGCTTTCCCTGCAGGCTGATCCCACACAGGAAGACAACAGCAAGTCTCCATTTAGAATGCTTTGCTTCAACACAGCTCCCATCAGAGTGCTAAAACCTCAAAATAAACCACGATTCCAGTTACTACAGAGACCTGTCGCTGCAGCAGCACTGCCCCAGCCAGAGCTCTTACCCAGCACTGCCACAGCCAGAACTGATTGTCATGTGCTGAGGAGGGGAAGGCGAAGTGCTGCCAGAGATGTACGGAGTCCTGCCGTGCCATAAGCTGCACAGGTAGAACAGATGTTTGTGGCAGCCCCTGGTGATGTTCCTGGTCACACGCTGGTGGCTGAGGGTTGGGGTGAACTGCTGGGGGTGAGAAAGCAACTGCTGGAGAGAAAGGGTGGAGACAACAGCAGTGGGAGCTCCGAATTCAGACAACTGCACAAAGGGCAGCAGAGGAGAGCACATCCAAGGAGGTGGCTGCTGAGGAAACAATGTTATCTGCGGGTAAACAGCACTTAATAAGGGGGAAACAAGGGACACAGTCACATTGCAGAGGGGTGGTCACAACAGGACGGGGCCATCAGTGCTGCTCCAAGCACTGCCTGAGAGCAGAGCAGACGTAAGGAAGCCATGAGGAGGATAGCTTAACGTGAACTGAGAGAAACAACATCTATCTATCCCCCTTCCAATCAAAGCCATCTGTTCAGAAACACACTCCATTCTGTCCTGAGCACACATGTCAGCTCTCCTACAGGAGCAGCAGCAGGTGAGGGGGCAGCCCTCTCCCAAAGCAGCATGCAGCCATGCAAGGATCAGCAAAGAGCACACAAGGCATCCACATCAGAGTGGCAGAGCCTGCCTTGGCCTCTTCCTGCTGCACGGCACCCAGGGAAGCAACGTGCAGCAACTCCACGTGAGTCACACTGCTGCCTCCTGCAGCAAGCCACCCAACGAGCTGGGCAGGATTGCTGTGGGGTAAGCGTGCTGACAGCCAGCTGTTCCAGAAAGGCTGTGACACAGCACTCAGCAGGCAATGGGTCCTGCTGTGATGAGCACCAGGCTGCACAGGGTTGGCTCTGGGAAGCTTGAGGGAGAAAGCTGGGAACATCCTCCTCCAAAGAGCAGCACAAATGCCAACTCGAGGCCTTTGGAAACTGCCTAAGAGAAAGACAACTTTAACTCCACCTCAGTTCCAAAATCTCCCAGCCTGTGGATGGCAACATCCAGCTGCATGGCACGAGTAATGCTCCCAAGGGATGGATCCACTCTTTGCAGGGAGCACAGTTGACTTGGTGCTCCCTGAGACCCACAGCCTCAGCAGCTTCAGCATCAACCTCGTGAGAAATTCAGGCGGCAGCTGAAATTCAAACCTCTGATCCAAAGAGCCATTTTTAAGCCTCCAGAAGCTCTGCATTGAGGGTCTGATGCAGCACAAGGTACCAAGCTACATGGATGCAATGAGAAGGGACGCTCTGCTCCTGGGGTCCTGAACGAGAACAGACAGAAGGATCTATGATGCTTTAGAAATACACATCACAGAGTTCCAGGCTTTCAGGAGCAAGCAGTGGTTCCTCACCAAGTAGATGCTGACAAAACGTGCCCCAGTCACAGGATCAACCTCAAGTAAACTCCACTTCACACTGACCATGGCAAGCTTTGCCATTGGGTCAGAAGAAACAAGTTGTGGGTGATCTGTTTTTTCAGATTAGGATGTGGGGTGGGGGGACAGTCAGAGAGGGAAGGAGGAGGACTGATGAGAGTGAAGCTTACAAAGAGAACCCTTCCACAGTGCTGTCGATGTGGTTTCAGGACAGCATTAAGCAGACGGTATGGAGGAGGCCAAGCACTAACACCAAGTGCCTTCACACCTGGATGCTCTATGGGGCACAGCTGCACACAGTACAGAGACCTGCTCCTTCAGTGCATCCCCAGCACTCCAAGACTGATGCCATCCAATTGCCAAGGCCATCAGGGATAGCTCAGGATCAAACTCTCTCCAATTTCAAAGCTGCTCCATCTGATCACAGGCTCAGCAGAAGCAATAGAAGCAGAGACTATCAAAGCACATATTAGTGTAAAAAAACAACCAAACAAAAAAGCAACAGCATGTGACTCAATTCCCTAACTAGGAACGGGCTCATTTGCTTACAGAAAAAGAAGGTTTTGAAGACATTAGCTGACTGAGATCTGTTTTTTCTAGAAAGAGATGGTGTTACTTTGCTGTTACAAAGTAGTGGGTGCAGAGAGGCTCCCTTCCCAGCCATAGCTAAGCCACAGTGTTGAGTTCCACACGTGTATCAAAGAACACACGCTCACTTCCCAACCACCCTCATTACTCCTGCCTCATCAGCATCTGAACAACAGCCAAAAACATCCACAGCATAACACGACCACAATGCCAGCAGCCCACTTCACCCTTCGATCCGCCCTGCTCAGTAAGCCTCATTCCCAGGGAGCAGCTCCATCGCTCCCACCACGGGTTCTTTAGGGATGGGAACTCTCTCTGGGGAAGCTTAAAAGCACCGAACGGCTCCTCAAAGCCAAACCACAGCCACACATCCCCACAGACGAGCGGTACCACAGCCTTCTGCTTCCAGAATTTGTTACTCTAATCTCATAGCCCTCCCGAGCTCTGAGTCACTGCCTCCTTGGAGGTACCAGGTGTGCACTTCCATCACTTCTGCGGCGCTGCTGGCAGCTCTGAGGGCTGAGTGCACCATGCCTTTACATCAAGGCCTGCTTCAGTTCCAAGCCCTAAGAAGCACCCGGCTCTCTCAGGCTGCCGTTCACTGAGAAAACCGAGCACCAACTGCTCCAACCATCGGGTCAGCTGCGGGGATGGCGAAGGATCTGCACTGCATGGCTTCTATTGAGCCCCTAGGGCCGTTATTTTGCGCTGAGGCCAGAGAGAAGGATGACAGATTGAATGCCACTCCAGGACCCGCACCCTGCCGGGCTGTGCTATGCTTTAACTGCAGCGCAGGGCTGCAGGAAATAGCACAGTGCCACTCCTCGGCTTTTAATCACGGTCTTGTGACACTACAGTTAATAGCCTGCCGTGGGCTCCATCACAAACCTCGACGTTGGTAGGAGGCGGACAAACGAAGCAGCAGCACACGGAGCCCAGCAGCTCCTCTCCGCAAATAACGCTCCCGTTCTTTTGTTACAGACCCGCTTCCTCGCAGCGCGGCTCGGCACGCAGCGGGCAGTGAATGGGGCAGAGCCGCGGGGACGGCACCGGGCGGCCACACCGGGCACCGGGCGGCCCACGACGGACCCCCGCAGCCCCCGCAGCGCCGTCCCCCCGCGCTGCCTCGCCCTTACCGTTGCTGTAGGCGTACGGGGACTCGGACGCGCCGTCCTGGAGGCTCTCCAGGATCTCCCCTTTGCCCACGTCGCTGTCTCCCACCAGCAGGAACTTGAGGAGGTAATCGTAGCTTTTCACCGGGCTGCCCTGCGTGCCCATCCTCGCTCCCCAGCCGCATTCCAGGCGCCGCCGGGCCGACGGCCGCCCTCAGGTCCTCCCGCGGGGCTCAGCGCTCCGCCCTCCCGCGGCCCATCTGCGGAGCGGAGCGGGACCTGCGGGGGAGGAGAGCGGCGCTCAGCCCGCGGCCGCCGACAAAGCCCCGCGCCCGGCCCGCCGCTAGGCCCCGCCGCCCCGCGCGGCCCGGCCCGCTGCCCCCCGCCCTCCAGAGCCCCGCAGCCCCGCGGCAGGCGGCAGCCGAGCGACCCGCGCTGCTCACCTCGCGGCCGGGCGCCCCGGTGCCGGGCCGGGCCACCGCCACCACGGCCACAGCCTCCGCCTGGCGCCGACGCGCAACGCCCGCTCGGCAACCGGAGAGGCGCTGCCCGAGCCCCGCCCTCCGCTCGCGGCGCGCTATTGGCTGAGAGACACGTCATCAGCGCGGCCCCGCCCAGACCCGCCCCTGATAGGGCGGGGCCGGCCGAGGAGACCGCAAACTACAGGTCCCGACGTGCCTTGCGCGGGGCGGACGCGGACTCCCGGGGCAGCGTCGGAACGGAGCATGACGGGAATGCGAGGCTGGGAGGGGAAGCGGCGTACGGAGCCCGCGGGTTCCCCGGGTTCAGGCTGGGCCGGACTGGGAAGCGGCGCCTGGCCTCACCGTGGGACCGTGGAGCCGTACCCCAGATCCCATCTGCCGCCGCGGGTCATTTCCGAGCAAACACGCTTCACTAGCAGGAAGCGGGGCACGGAGCACGGCCCGGCTCTGCGCGGAGTGACGCTCACACGCGTCCCCAAACCCCAGTGCACAGAGCGGGGTGGGATTCTGGTGGGGCTGCCAGCACCCAGGGAAAGGCTGGGGACCGGGGTCGGTCCCATCGAATGCTCCTCCACGGGGAACGGGGTCACACTGCGAGCGGGGGAACCTGCAAAGGAGGGGGAGGGATGAATGCGTCGGTCCTCGGCCCACTGAGGAGCCGTGGGCACCAAACTCTGTGTGCCAGTCTGGTGATGTGCACGGACCCGCCCCTGTGTGTCCCCCCCTCGGTGGTTCCAGCATCCCTCGGTGGGCTCGAGCTCATTTGCTGCCTCGGAGCCACACCATCCAAAGCCCCTTGGGAGGGCTCCTTTAGACGAGGCTTTGTTAAAACAGCGTTCCCGCAGCCACTGAAAATGCATGAGGAAGCACGGAGCGCTGGGCTGCGAGCCGCAGCCCTGATACGCCCATCAATCCACCGTCCTCACCCTGACATCCTCACCCAGCCCTACCTGGGGTGGGTCACCCCAAATGATCCCCAGTATCTGCTCAGTTAACTGCTGCAAGTTAACATACGGGTAAAATACACATGCAGTGCTTGTTTTCTTTGGGAACGATGAGACATTCACACGTGCCAGCAGTACGAGGCACAGCCCAGCCGATGGATCAGGGATTAACCTCCCAAAACTATAAACAGAGCCCTCGGTGCAGTGTAATTACTGAGATTTCCTTTCAGCATCGTCACATGCTTTGCTGGTTAGGAAAGGAAAGTATTTCTCAAAGGCAGAACTTCCATCTAGGATGGAATTTTACGTGCACTGAGTTACATTTTCCTTCACAAAAATCACGCCTGTGTGAAGAGGCAGATCAAGTGTTGTGCCAGCACTGGGAACCATAAGATGGAATAAATAATAAAGGCAAAATGGGGTATTCAGGAAAAAAAAAAAAAAAGGACAAAAAACTGAGCAAGATTATCATCTTTGAATGACGGCTGGCAAAGCCTGCTTGTCGCCTGCTAGAAGGCGTGTGTGGTGGGAGGCAGAGAAGACCTGAAAGCTTTTACTGCTTCTCGTCTGGGGACTTAGCTGGATAATGTGAATCTGAGGGTAAATCAGTGCCACAGCCTCACCAGCAGTCTCTTCCCCAAGGAAATGCCAGCACTGGGCCAGTTTGAATTGCTGTGGAAGACGATGCTGATCATACCTTGTAATTAGGGATGACGTGAGGTCAAACGCTCCCGAGCAGGATCTCTGCTAAGTTGCTGTAATGTCTCAGCACAGCATCAGAAAAGGATGGAGGAAAACTATTTCACGTCAGTGACTGGAAAGGAAGAGGACAGACATGGCACGTGTCCAGCAGAAGAAACTCACAGGCTCAGGAACCATCACGGATAAGGACATCGAGTCCAAAACAGTGAGGCAGTGCAGGCACCCGTCCTGCATGGCACTGGAGAATGACGCTCACTGAGAGCCCTTAATCCCCAGCTGGGCACCCAAGGCTCTCAACCCATGAGATCCAGGCTCTGGAGATTGTGCAGAATCTTTTTCCCTCTGATATCTCGCCACCCCTGGTGTCAGTATCAGCCCTCAGTAACAGACCTGGTGTTGGAATGCCTAATGTGTTTGGCAGGTCCCCAGCAGGAAGGTCACATTTGCTGCTTCGTGCTGTCCTCGGGGCTTTCAGGTCACTTGATCCCAAAGGGCAGCCAGGATTAGAACCATTGTGAGCTGTTTTGTCTTACGGACGAATTTGAAAAGGCAGCATATGAGGAACATTATTTCCATAATATCAAAAATAATGAAGTTTCCCTCAGCCTTTAGTGAACTAAGCTATGCAGGCATGGGAGGAAATACGGGAATGTCATTGAATTACTCCAGTGGAAACATGAGAGGGGCTAAAGTGTAAACCTGCTCTGCTGTGCACCAGGTCAGGATGCCTTTCCACCACTCTGACTTAATGCTGAAGGCAGATACATTACTAAGAGCATTCGCCCACTGAATGGATCACAATCCAGCCTTACTCAAACCTGGAGTAGAGAGAAATACTCAGGCACTGATGCTGAACAAAATAAAATAGTGGACAGTGTACAGGGCTGTTAAGCACTGATCATTAACGTTCCTTGATGGAGGTGCTCCTCCTTAAGCTCTGTTCCAGTTTCTGCAGCCAGCGATGTCCCACCCAGAGCCAGAGGGAGCAAATGGTGGCTGGGGGACTTTGTGCCACTGGGATGAAGGAAACACACCATCACAGGTAGCAGTACCTGTTAATGCTGCCTCCTCTGGTGATGTCCTTAAGAAAGCTGCAAGCCCTCAGCAGCTCCTGTGTTTGCCTGCTAAGGAAAGTCCGGACCAAACACCTACTTACAGAGCTCCATTTTCTTCCCATCATGCTGCAGCTGAAAGGCAGTGCTGTCAGAGGCTGTGAGCAGCCACAGGCAAACTAAACAGACCTGGCCATGGGCAACTGAAAGCGTCCGACATCCCTGCAGCCATAACCCCTGCTCTTCTGTGATGCATCCAAGCACAAGGATGAGGCACGGGGTTGGAACAGGAAACGTATCCTGCGAATGGAGGTGCAGATTGCCAGCACACACACCCTCCTCAACAGCCCTCAGTTCCCTTGGACAGAGCTGAGGTCCCCCTGAGACCAAGGAAAAGAGGGCAGACCCAGCATGCCTCTCTGCTGCAGTTACTGCAGCTGCCTGGGAGCGCAGAGCAGCAGCGGGTGCAGTGATACTGCATTGTTGTTTCAGCCAGGGCAAGAGGAGCAAGCAGACCTGGAGAGTGTGTGCTTTTAGGCAAGGACTGTCTGCACACCAGCAAAGTACCCAGCAGGACATCACACTCCTGTGCACAGAAGCACTCTCCCCAAGGCAGGAATAGCTTGCTGGAAAGGGGAACAGACATCAAAATGAGCATGCTGTCAGTACAGGATGCAGGAAAGCCAGCTGCTGCTGCACTGCAGAGCTGCAGTTCAGTGCAGAAACACCCTCCTATGACCAATGTGTCCACAGGTCCAGAGAAAGAAGTGGCTTTTAATACTTCATCTGAAATAACTTCAAAAAGGCTTCGACTACCAGAAAGTGCAAAAGATGAGGCAGCACATGAAGAGGCTCCCCTTTGTGTCCTGAGAAGCAAGGGGCTCTACTGACCCTGCACAGTGCAGCACATGCTTCCCAAGCTGCTTGAGCTGCATACCACCAGGCTGCTGCAGTCCTCTGGCAGAAGCTGCAGCTGGGCTCAGCTGGGCTTTGCAAAGCTGCCTTTGCCTTAGACTGCAGCTGAAGGAAAGAGCCCCCAGGCTTGGCAGGATCCCAGGCTCTCAGCTGCCTCAGCTTGCTGCTGTCAGCTCGGGCAGTTTGGGGTTGTGCACCCTGCACTTCCAATTCTGCTGTCAGCTCAGGGCTCAGCTCTCCCCACATCACTACTGGCTGCTGAAAAACATCGATGAGACTTTTTGTCTCTCATGTAGGCACAGTCAAACAGCAGCCTTTGTTTCTGGGCCTGCAGTACCATGGTTTCTAAGCTCAGTACCCGTGCTGGTGCTGCATCCAAGCCCGATGCAAAGGAAAAGAACATCCTGCAAACCCAAATAATCCCACTGTGCAGCCTTCAACGTGTGACCAAAAGCTGCTCCTCTCTGCTCTGATCGCAGGCCGAAGCATAAAGGATTCAGAACATCCTTTGGTGGAACGCACCTCAACACTGTGATTTAGAACCACCAGAAGGGCTGTTTTTAATATGGCTCTGTGAATTCACAACAAGATGTACACAGCATCAAATGCTCAGGAGGTACTTCCTTGATTACACTGCATGCTGGTTCCACGAGGCACTGGTGGCTTTAACCTTTTGCTCCAACAATAATCATTAGCCCCTGGTGCCAGCAGGCAGACATCTCAGGTAGGGTGAACACTGCATTAACAAGAAACAGCTTGGAAACCAAACCAGTTCAAACACACAGTAGGGGAAATGGAAAGTTGAAGAATAATATTTAAAAATATTTGTCTTCAAAAATTCAGCCCATCCCACGTTACCAAAATGTAATTAAAAGGATCCAGCAGCTGCTGGCTCTGAGATACCTTTGGTCCAAAAGCATTAGGAATCAATATGTTTTTCTAACCAAGTCTTACAGTCCTGGCTCTTGTGGTTGCTTTGTTTTTTGTTTTGTCTTGTTTTTTTACTCCTGTTTCTCTCCTTTGTGTTTCCAAGGGTAGATCAGCTCTCCAAGGAACAGCTTCTTGCAGAGGGACGCCCAGGAATCCTTGGGGTAACAGCTGTAGGTCGGCAGCCTGTATGTCTGTACCACATTGCCATATGATAGAGGGTTGATCTGTGAGAAGAAAGAGAGACAGCAGCAGTGAAAATGCCCTGAAGCAGGAGGGACAGGGAGACGAGGCAGTAATTGCAAGTTCTGTGCAGCACTGCCTCTGTTAGAACATCACACAGCTACAGAAGACGTCAAACTCCCTCCCTGCTAGTTAAAGCTATTTAGCCCTGAAACGTTAACAAACCAAGCCTGGCAAACAGTATTATTAGAACAGTTTTCAAGCAGAGCAGCAGATGTAAATGTCAGAAGGATTTGAGCTGCTCACCTTACAGTGAGAAGCAGAACTGTCACCTTGTTGCACTAGCAGCTTGTAGTGGCTGGAGAGATGGGGGGCTTCATTGCACACACCTGTATTCCTTTGGGCATGCACTGAAGTTGTAGCAACTTCTCCATTAGGTGTCAGTTCGAATTTCCCTTTTAAGGTGCCAGCCCCCAGTCCACAGCTGTTCTTCGAGCTGAACCTTTCTCAGCACTTGATGGAATCCTGTCCTAGCAGAACAGGATGGATACAAAGCAATACCAGGCAGGGCTGCTCACTATCATTTTAAAATAAACCTCTTTGGCTGAATTCATAGCTTTTCAATGCAACTTCAATCCCTGCCCCAAGAAGGATCTGCCTGGAGTCCCTATGCAAGCTCACAGCCTCTGACTGAGGTCGCAGAGTTTCTGTATTGGTTCTTTGGATGATGGGGACAGTCAGACAGATGGAGAAGGGAACACATCAGATCTTGGAAACTCTCATTCCAGTGAAGTATTTTTCGGGGCAGAGAGATAGCTGAGGTGCAGAGGAGCCAGTCTGGACAAATTCAGATGCATGGGAAGGATGCACAGCAGTAGACTGACTTTGAAAAGTGAAGATGATTACACAGTAACAGTGGTGTCAGAAAACAGACCGTGAGAGGTGCCAAGGCAAGGAGACGTACAGAGCCTCGGGAAGTCTGGACAGAGGAGAGAGATGGAAGGAAATCCTCCTCTATAAAAGGGTCCAGGTATGCTGGAACCAAGCAAGCAGCTGCGTGATCGAGGAAAGAGGTGAGAATGCATGGTGGAAAAGGCAGCCACAGAAAGGACAGGGGCAATAAAAACACACACACAGACACTGCTGTTCCAGAAGCTGAATTTTTCTTTTGTCCACTGATGAATGACCAGTTTTCTGGGAGTTTGCTTATGCCACCAGCCTGCTTCAGCTCTCCTGTGTTCATGGAGAGAGAAGGGATGAACGATGGGTGCCTGCAAAGATGGAGCTTCAAGAAAGAGCAATTAAGCAAAGAGTTCTTTAGAATTAGTCTCAGAGACCTTTATCAAATGTGTTTCAAAGAACAGAAGGAGGAAAATGCTTGGCTCAGAAGCACCCCTGTGAAGTTTAGAAGGAGGCCAGGGCAAGGCAATGAACAGACCCAGCACAGGGTCCAGCTGTGAGACAGTGACTCAAACAGATTCACAGGAAGCTGAATTCTGCCCAAATGAACGTTTGTACCCAAAACCCAAGAGCTGAGCTCACACATGGGCAACCCAAACTACTGCAGCTCGTATTTCAAACAGCCTTATGGCCAGGGATGGACCACAGGGATCGACATGATAACCAACCTCACTGCACTGTGGCCGTGGGCAATTGGGAAAAACAGATGAGAAAGAAGGAAAGAGAGAAAGAAGGGAGGAGAGAAAGAAGGGAGGCGGAAGAAACCATCCCTTTCTCCCCAATTAGAAAACAAAACGTGCACACAAAATAAATAAATAAAAAACCCCAGCACAGTAAAACTTGAGCAATGATCACTGCCTGCTTCCTCAGCTCTGCACAGCACCGGTGGAGGACAGGACGCCTCTGGCTATCAGCTGTGCGGGCTGGAAGGATGCACACAATGTTTCCCTGGGCAGGGAGATGATACCATTGGTCTGCTGAGAAGTAACATGTAACCCCAGCACAAGATATTTTGTCTCTCCTATTATAAATGGAAACAAACGAGCAAAAGAAAGGCAACTGCTTATTAGGGAAGCTGCACCACGAGTTCCTTTTTTGCAGTTTCTGTCCTTCGAAGTTAGGCTACACCCTGATCATTCTCATCTGCATCCTTTGTTTCCTAAGGGAGCTGCTCCCTTTTGCTTTCCTCTTTCGCTTAACCCTTCTCAAAGCAATTGCTCTGAAGGATGACATTTCGGGCAGAAGGCACACAGATGAATTAAACGCTCCGTGTGTCCCCACTGAGCTGAGCCACGCTGCCAGAAATCCTTCTTGTGGACTGAAACGAATACTTTTAAACACTAATGAAAACACTCAGCTATGTCAGCTATGGAGAAAATCAAGCAGCATTTGGAATGGGAGCATCACCCCCAGCTGCCTGTGCCTGGACAGCATTCCTTAAATGTAAGAGTGACTACTTGGCTGAACCACAAGCTGAACACGAATGCTCAAACCCAGCATTATTGATTTCTCATCCATTACCAATGCCTCAAAGGGCAGCTTGGATTGTAACAGTCACCTGCAGCTTCAATTACAGCAGGCATGGTCGCATGCATGTAACCATACTTTGATCACACATGGCATCAGAGGGCCACCATATGGGGAGGGGACACAGCCACCGTGATACTGCTAGAAGGGAAAAACCACCGTGCAGCACAGATCAGAATTTCAGCATGTCACTTAAAAGCAGGCTTCTTAGATTTCCCTCTCAAAAGACCTATCAGAAAGCAGCACATTCAGCAGAATTTCTGACAGGAGCCCATTTTTCATTTCCACCACCACAAAGGGAGTAGAAAAAAGTGCCTTTACCAACTCTGTGCTCATTATTACTTGAGCAGAAGGCCAAAAGCGACATCCAACTCCAGCGCTTCCACCTTTTGATAAGATGACTTATGCTATATTCTAGATAGGAAAATTCATCGCATTCATATGACTCACTGCCTCTGCTCCCTATCTCAGCCCTGCTATTTTTCCTCTGGAGCAGCTATCCACCTCGGCTCACAAACACACTGCTGCCAAACTGCTCAGCTGCTCCTCAGCTTCACCACTCGTGGCCACAGTTTCCTTTTTACAGAGTTTTTTGGGGAAGGAGAATGACAGATTTTGGTTCTCCCACCGCCATCCTACCGAAACAAAGTGGGAGCAGCGTGCCTTAAAAACACTCAATTTGCCCCAGCAGAACCTGCAGGAGGGATTCCCTTCTGAATCGCTGCTGGATGATGTGCAAGCTCGGTGCTGAGCTGACCTATGCCAAAATGGGGCTGGGGTTGGACCTGTGATGGAAAAAGCAAAAGGTCTGGGAAGCCGCGGTTAATTCCTTCCCACACACTCTCCCAGGTTTCTGTAATTCCATCTCCTGACTCATAGACTTCCTTCCCAAGATGCAAAGAGCAACAGCAGCGACCCTGAAATACGGCAAAGTCGGGAGAGTTTCACAGAATCCCTCCTGGAAGTGTAACGACAACCTCCCTGCTACCATCACAGCATTTCTGTGCAGAAGAAAACTGATTTTTTATCTCTGGTGACAGAGCGTGGAAATGCAGTCCTACAGAAGCACAGGCAGCCTTGTCCTGTGCGCCCTGACAGAGCAACTAAGGAGAACAGGGGCCCTTCCCTCTCTTGTCCCATCCACATACCTGTCCTGACTGCCTCATGGTACAACTGCAGCTTTTCAACACATCTGGAAGTGAAACTCTTTCCCTAGCCCTTAACCATCCTTCATTCCAGATGGTTCCAGCTGTCTTCTTCTGCTCATCTCAGTGTTCAGCAGTTATTAAGGTGCAGCTGCATGCAGCCACAAAGTGTGGCAATACTGACATGGTATTTCATGTTTCTCAAATCTCTCCCACTTCATTTCACATCACACAAGATCCTGCATTTTCTCCAAACAGAAGAGTCAGCCAAGGCACTTAGAAGGTGAGAAAGCAGCAAGCAGTTTAGAAGAACGGAAAGCCGGCCAAAAGCACCTCCTTTGTTTCAGTATTTCACAGATGCAATCCTTGAAGCCGGGTCCTTACGCAAAGGGCACAAAGCTGTGGGACCAGTTCAGAGCTCAAGAAGAGGAAAGAAAGGATCTGGGGGTCAGCTGGAGGGCTTTTCCTCCAGCACACGCAGCTCACCTGCATAAGGAGTCGAAGAGGTTTTCCATCCTGCTGCTGGAGGACTCTGAACTTCACACCAGCTGAAAAGAAACAGAACACAAAAACTAAATCCATGCTGGAGAAAGGCCCACACCATTTTGTTTAGCTTAGAGAAGAGAAAGCTCCAGGGAAACCTCACTGTGGCCTTCCAGTACTTGAAGGGAGTGTATAAACAAGAGGGGGAATGGATGTTTGTGAGGGTGGATGGTGACAGGACAAGGGGGAATGGTTTTGAACTGAGACAGGGGAGGTTTAGGTTGGATATTAGGAGGGAGGAAGTTTTTCACCCAGAGGGTGGTGAGGCACTGGCACAGGTTGCCCAAGGAGGCTGTGGATGCCCCATCCCTGCAGGCATTCAAGGCCAGGCTGGATGTGGCTCTGGGCAGCCTGGGCTGCTGGTTGGCAACCTGCACACAGCAGGGGTTGGAGCTGGGTGAGCATTGTGGGCCTTTGCAACTCAAGCCATTCTGTGACTCTATGATTTGCTGATCAGCTGTTGGCTGAGTGCTCCAGAAGCAGCCTTCCACCTTTCTGGGATTGTTAACCCCTACTAATTTTCAACAGGAAGCACAGATTTCCCCCAGAACGGCTTTGAGACTCATGACAAACAGTGTTTCTCTGAGCTCCATTAAAATCAGCCCTCTGAGTCCCAGGCTGTAACTGCAGTCCAGAAGAAAGCACAAAGCCCAGAAATCAGGCAGGCAGTGCTGCTGACTGCAGTAATCCTTGCCTTTCCAAACTTCCATCAGAACGGGAACTTCACGTGAACAAGAGGCACGGATCACCTTTGATTTGTGCTCATGGGGCTGCAGCACGTGTGCAAATCTCTTTCAGACTGAGCAAGGAGAGCAGCCAGCCCAGAGGCATTCAGAACATTTCAAAGCCACCACTGCCTATTAATCACAGCACTCATGTTTTTAACACACTAATAACCCCATCAAACCTGACACTTTCATATTCCCTCTTGGACTCGAAACAATCCCAATACTTTAAAGATAAATAAGAAAGATTCTGGGTTCCAATGGTGACATCCTGCTCATGAACATTTAATGCAACATGTCAAAGGATGGTAACAATTAGGGCTGGAGAGGCATTTTTCTTCTTTTCTTTCCTATTATTCCTTCCTACGGGTGAGAAGATGGGGCCAGAGTAATGAAGTGATCTGTCACAGATCAAACAGCAACTCAGGAGTACAAACAGAAATAAAACTCTTGTCTTTACAGGCTCTGCCACTGTGTAAATGGCTCTTACACATTTAAAAACCAAAACAGTTTCTCTTTTCCCTTAGCTTTGAATTACTGGATATTACACGGTTCATTCTTCCTTTTGGGAGAGAACGCTCTTGCCCAGTAAAGAGCTCTTCCCAAATCATGCAGCCCTTTTTTGTACAAGGCAGGAAGGGATTATCTGTTTATTGCTGGGTTACATTGGAACATGGACTCCTCCAATGGCTTCCAAAAGAAGTCTGAGTATGCTGGGTCTTGATGAGCAGAAGTGAAAAAGTCTTCAAAGGGATTCATTGAGTTCTGGCTACCAGAAAGCATCAGAGACAGCCCCAAATCTTCTTTTCAAGCAGGCAGCTTGTCAGAGATACAACCAAACAGGCACTGGCCTTGCAAGGTGGGTGATGCAGCACTCTGGAGCCTTGTGCTAACATGAGGCCATTAGATCAGCAAATGCTGTTTCTCTAAGTCACAGTCACATGCTGCTCTTTCACAGATGCAAGCTAGTAATCTCTGGAACAGGTTATTTAACTGCTCAAAAGTCTTCAGTTCTTAACTTTGTAAGAAAATACAAACAAATTTATTTTAGAATGACCTACAGAGTACCACAGCGCTCAGAAATCTGAGCAACTCACTGAAGAGATGAAGCAGGAAGACGAGGAAAACTCCAAATCACTCCAGCAGCAAAGAACCCTCAGCTTTCTGTCATTGCCAGCCAACTCCAAAGCTCGGGGTTCGGCACGTTTTTGTACACAGGCATCACCATGAGCATGAGAGAGGGCAGGACACGGCTCCATTTGCTTTGTTCCACACGACAGTGCACTGATGGCTGTTTGTGTTGCAGTAATTATGGGGGAACATCATGACGACAGAACCGTGCTGAGAATGACAGCGGTTGCCCCAGAGTTTGTGAACAGGCAAGAGGAGGATGGAGAAAATGAACTGACTGCCTGCTATCAGACATGGGCAGGCTGAGACCCCCCGGCCTCACTGCTGTGCCTTCCTTGATGCTCTGTATCACCAGCACGGTGAACCATCCCAGGCAAGGAGCATCCCTTCAGCTGACACCTGGCAGGCGGAGCACAAAGGCTGTCGGTGTGGATGGATTTGCACCGACTTTTTACAATCCAAAGTATTTCCCACCGCATAGAGGAAACAAAATACGGACTTCATTTCTGGTGTGTGGACGGATCTTCCAACCATTCAGGCCCAGGCTTCACCTACATAACATTTTGTCAGTTCAGAAGCTGAGTCAAGAGACTTGGAAGCCAGCACTGAACTGAGATGAACTTAAACCCTTGCTGATAGCAAAAGCTATCCATTCACGTTGGTAGAACTATCTTGATGGTGCTCAAAATAATCAGATGCCATACATAACACAGGCAAGAAGATTTCTGAGTCTGAAAAGGGAAGCAAAACCTCAGCAGTGGGGACATGAAGCAACGCGTACTCTCTGAAGTCCTTTGAATCTGATTCAACTGCTCCATCTGTCACCACTCCAACGATATGTTTTTATTCTAGAGCAGGAACACAGGCTGCAGAAACTCTCAGAGGTACCTCTTCATCGAGCAGGCAGCAGAGTACTGCAGCGTTTGCTTTCACAGAATGTGTAAGAGGAGCAAACAAATAGCCAGCAATGAAAGTTTGCCAAGCAGACAATCCACAGCCTGGGCAGAGGCTTTATTACTCCACAGAGGGCAGAACAAAACTGAGAAGTAACCCAAGACTGATGGGAGTACACAGCCTCACAGCTCCCAGTGCAATAAGATATCCTTCTGCCCTCCGACTTGCTGTCTGTTGGATCAGTTTCCTTCTGCAGTATTTCCTGCTCTCCAAAGACAGCCCTCAAGGGTTAAGAAGTTTCTGCCAGGAAATTGATAAGAACACGCTGAAAGCGCACATGGAAAAGCAACAGGCTTGGTAACATGGCTCAGCTCTACCTTCCCAGAATCAAACCTGGCACACAGAGCTGACAGCAGCTCCCAGCAGCTTCCTTTGCTCTTGATGAGTAGCCCTGGTTTGGTGATGAGCAAATTCCTTGTTTCTAAAATTCCTCCTGTGCGCTCTTATATTGGATGGGAGACAACGATTTAGATCAGCTTGATTTTAACTGGATTAACCACGTCTACTGACAGTTAAGCCCACTTCCAAATGATCCTTTACTCTGATACTAATCGTGGCTCATTGCTGTCAAAAAGGAAACAACAACAAATAGCTCCGAAATGGTGATAGGTTAATCTCAAAAAGGGAATGATGATCTGAAAACCTGGCCAGAACTCTGAATCTGACCCAAACATCTCAGTGCAGGACTCCAGTTAACCAAGTCAGCACAGAACTGGAGCTCCATTGATTCACATTCTTTATGATGCAGATTTTCCAAGTACTTTTGCAATTTGTTTCACAGCCAAAAACCCCAGTGCTAACAGGAGTTTTACCTGATCTAGTATGCTGTAACAGGAATAAAAAATAAATGAATTGATTTTAATAGTGTTTGCTTGGGTGTCACTTTTATTTATCACAGGCTTCGTAAGGGCGCTTCTGATTCTGATTCAGCATCAAATGCCTTTTCACTGACATCCAGCTCCTTGCAGCAGCTAGTTAAACGCATGGACAACCACACTGCTTATGCTCTGGGTCGCTTCCCAGCCCTCTGAATTTTCTATTCAGAAGCTATCAATTGCACCAAGACAAAATGCATAATGCAAAAACCCTGAACTTTTGCATATGGAAACGCTGAAGGACTTACCTGCCAGTCTGTAGGATCTGCACAACCGAAGGATGACCGAGTAAAGAGGCAGAGAGTCAATCAGGTCAACCAGCAAGTGGATCAGGCCTTGCACAATCACCACCAGCAAACGGAGCTAAAGAGAAACAGCTCAGTAAGCAGCAGGAGATAGCAGCCCTGCAAACTCAGGAGTTGGCCTGCACTCTGACACTGTGCATAAGCTGAGCTCTCCTGAGGTGAGCTTAAGAAGTCTAACAGTGCTGGGTATCCAGTGCCTGTAAAAGGTTTCTTAAGGGTCTAACTGTAGCGAAGCCTCACGTTGGTGGATGCTGTGAGCCATAAGGACACAAGAGCAATTCCCCTTTCAGCAGGCACAGTCAAAAAGGGAGATTTCATGCTCACAGTTCCACTGAACTCCATCACCCTGCATCAGAGAATGCAAATTTCCCTTCCCAGCAGTGAGCTAAAATGCTTTATTTCTGTCTGAAGAAACCCCACGTAGAGCATTTAAGCAAGAGCCAAGCAGTCAGAAATGAGCTTCCTGCTTAGCATTGTGCTGACTAAGGCTCCTTTTGTCAGACTGCATTTGTTTTTGCTGTCAAGCCCATCTCAGCAGAGAGGGCTCATAAATGATATTGAAATCCTGTGTGAAGGCCACCGTGTGTGGAAAATACTGCTCCAGGCAGGCCATGGACAGGACCGGTCATACTGGAGAAAGAAAAAGAAGGAAGTCTAACCCTCTTAGCAAAGCCTGGTGGAGAGCATTTAACAGAGCAGGTTAACTCCTTGAAGAAGCTGTTCTGGATCAAACTGGAGACGTGGGATGGAAAGACTGAAATGACTTCTGAGGGAAAGACAGGGGAACAGCGTGTCCTGCTGCCCTGCGTTTGCTGGGAATTCCCTCTGGAGAAACACAGCCACGTACCCTGAGTTCCACTTCCTTGGTCTGCATGGGCTGTGTGACAGCTCCTCCTGGACGCTCACACAGATCTTGTGTTTTCTTTGTGGATGACAGTAAATGACAAAGACACCCTCATATATCCATACATCTCAGAAAACAGCTACCTTCAAGGGTCATATCTTACCAGGGTGAACACCAAATAGTACAGTGCAGTTGTAGGCAGAAGGAACAGCAGGATGGTAAACAGCAACGTGCCAATAAATAACTAGGGGAAAAAAGAAACAAAATCATCAGCAGAACAATGGCAAAACAAAATAAAAGTAATAGGAAATGCTGAAGCAGAGAGTTTGCAAGCCTCTTAACATTTTCTTTTAAATTCCCTAAGTGAGTAATTCTGCTAATATTTTCAGTAATTATTCTCTTTTTGGGCCTTTTATATGACTGTTTGAAAAGATCCTGAAAGCATTTGTTCCTTTATGAACAATGCTCAAGATTTCCTATTTTAGGCTGGCTTCCTTAGGAAGCAAAGCTTCCATGATTACACTGTTCAACCATGCCCTGCCTCTGCGAGTTTTAAAACCACTGGTCTGTATTTTACTGGGAAAAAAAGGTGGAAAGTTGCAAAGAAGTAGAAACTGGGTAGGGAAATCTATAGACTTTTTTGTTCCTCCTTGGTTTGGGAGAATTGGGTTGTAAGTCTTTCAATGGGCAGCAACTGGCTGGCCAAAGGACATCAAGGCTCTTGTTCTCAGTAGGTAACTGGGAGACAAAGAAGATAGTGACTGGGTAGAATGATGTGATATTTTCAGAGGAATAAGAAAAATCCATAGGAAAGCAGATGTCATTAGCTCCACTGCCCATGGAACTGGTTATTTTAGGGTCAGGTTGGCCCAGCTGGCATAAGCCAAACTAATTTCAACTGAAACCAACAGAGAAATACAGATTTATGATAAATAGAGACCCAACTCTTCAATTCTCTGTTCTGGTGACTGGGAAGACACAGGACCAGGGGGCACTGCAGGAAGAGAACACGGCCATGATGTGTTAAGGAATAAAACAGCCCTGTTGCAGAGGTGGATTGAAGGCTCAGCTTCATGCACAGAACCAGACATAGATGACAACCTGACCCATCCCCTTCACAGCTGCTGTTTCTCCCCTCCTCTGTCACTCCATGCAGTTCCTTAATGTCTTCTGAAGACTTTTAAGGTCAGCTCTGAGTGTCTCATCCCACTCAGGCCAACAACACAGCTCCTGTGAGCAGCAGGATAGAGCCAGGAGGGCCAAACCAACCCTCCTCAGAGCACACAGGGAGAGCCTGACGTAAACCATCATCTCTGACTTTTCCATCACCAAGGAAAAGAGAAAACCTTCTGCTGCAGTGGTGTGAGAAAGCCAGAGCTCATCTGCTGAACACAGAGAGGCACCTGGGGGTCACCAAACATCACTTTATTATTTCAGTGATGTTTGCAACAGTAGGTGTGGCCCAGCCTTCCTATGGCTCTGCCCAGCCTTCCTATGGCTCTGCCCAGCCTTCCTATGGCGTTGGAGGATTTCATAAGAGGTTACAGCATCTGACAAAAAAAAAAACCCAACAACTGCCTCTGCTGTTTGAGTGAGAAAGTGTGGGCCACCAGGCTCCAGCTTAATGTGAATGAAGGGGGGCTTTTTCATAGCAGCACTGGCAAGCCAAGTCAGTTCCTATGGCAACACTGCTGGGCACTGCCTCCCTCCCCCATGTCTACTCTGTGCTGAGAGCATCTGTAGCACCCACAGAGCACGGTGGGCACCCAGCACCTGCCACAGGGCACACAGGGAAGCATGGAGTGCTGCAAACCCAGGAGTCACACAGCCATAGGATGCCCCAGGTTGGAAGGGACCCACAAGAATCATCGAGTCCAATCTGCTGCCTCTGTAACCAAAGCAGCCAGGATCACGCTGCCTGCCTGCAGCAAGCCCTGATGCTGCAGCACTACCTGGTCCAAGTCATAGGAGCAGGAATCCACCCGCTGCCGGAGGACGTTCCACTTCTTCCCACGGAACAAACGCCAGAGAGACGACAGGCCGTAGATCTTCAGGCAGTAGAGTCTGAGCAAAGAGAAGATGCCACACATCAGAGCTGTGAGCTCCTCAGCCTCAACACAAAGCAGCTGTCATCACGACACCCCGTGCCCACCCGCTTACTGATGTCACAGAACTCGAGTTGGCAAAAGAAATCAACCCGAGAACGACGCAGATAAAATGTTGATTGCTCAGTCAACCAACTGGGGCTGCCCCCTGGTACAGGCAAGGAAGGCTGCTGCAGGCAGTTCTGGACCACTGTGGGGCAACCACTGTGCCATGCCCCATGGCTACAGACAGGCTGATTCCCTGCTCTTGGTGATGAAGAGGTTGGCATGCCCAAAGTGCCAAGTTCTGCTGGAGGTGGCCGCTATGAGCAGCCATTGCTACCACCCTCCCTGCAGCAGGAGCTGCAAGTTTTTTCCCTGCAGCCCATCTCTGTTTATTCAGATTTCCTCTCTTCCCTTCACTCCACCCTTTTCCATGGCAGGAGCATCCAAGGCCTTATTGCTTGTGCTTGAGTCAGCACCATTTACTTTTGCCTCTGCAGCACTGAGGTGAGGGGGAGGAATGGAGCACTGCACCTTCATCCATAAGAGTGGGAAAAGATCAACTAAATAGCTGCTGGCACCTCTACTGAATCCTTTCCCATGGCTTTAGTAACTTGGTGCTACGACACTTGGAACTACCTGAGGAAACAGCAATGGTGAGAGGTCTGAGGTGATGAGAGGTGAGAAGTAGAGACACCTACAGAACAACACAAAGGAAGAAAGAGTCCCTGGAAGGGAAAAGAGGGACAAAGAGCCTCAGAGAGCAGGAATGTAAGTAAGGGAGACCCAATCTACGGAGCAGAACAGAGCTTGGGAGAGCCTGACCCACAGCAGCCAGCCTGGTCAACCAGCCTACACAAAGCACCAAGGCTGCTCAGGCTTCAAGATGGCATTGTGAAAGCAGTGGCAAGGATTCTTATCCCAGAGAAGAATTTGGTCTGAGTAACACCGGCTGCTTCAAGGATGAGGCAGGTGCCCAGACTGCACAGCTCAGTGCACTCATCTCCAGGCCAGAGGGTTCCCAGCAGGCTCCTCCAGCTTGCTGCTGCACACCATCCATGGCTCCTGCCTCTCACCCACATACCCTGCTTTGACACCATGCAGGTGGACCTGATGGAGCACCTGCCCCACCTTTGCTGCTCCCTGTGCACACATGCCAGCTCTTGTTTCACTGGAAAGCCTATTGTGGGTGGATGCTCAGACTTCACCAGCACCCAACCCAGCAATTTGTTCCTCCAGCTGCAGGAAGGCAAGGTGTTGTGGTGATTGTGCTGATGTGGGTGAGCGGTACCCCGTCCTGACTCTCCATAGGGGCAGCTGACACAGCAGGGACAGCTGGGTGCCAGCACTAAGATAACATATAGCTGTTCCACACTTCTAACACAGCCCAGGCTGGTAGACTGGCTCCCTGCAGCTCACAACAGGAGAGCAATCAGCAGAGAAAATGCTTTTCCTGTTTCCACTCACAAGCAGAAGGGACCAAGACCACTCCTCACAGCCCAAACGGAAATTCCAGAAAACTGGAGCTGTTCATGGAATCATAGAGTCAGAGAATCACAGAATGCCCTGGGTTGCAAAGGACCTCAATGATCACCCAGTTCCAACCCCCTGCTGTGTGCAGGTCGCCAACCAGCAGCCCAGGCTGCCCAGAGCCACATCCAGCCTGGCCTTGAATGCCTGCAGGGATGGGGCATCCACAGCCTCCTTGGGCAGCCTGTGCCAGTGCCTCACCACCCTCTGGGGGAAAAACTTCCTCCTAAAAGCAGGAAATCCCTTTTTCTCCTGCTGAGAAGAAACTCTGTGTTACCAACAGTACTGATCTCAGGTGCAAGTCCTACACTCACAGCAGCACCAACTCATAAATTGTATCTTAATACAATCATTCCCTAAGCTGGCTGTAACTCAAGTTCTACCATTTCTTCTGTTGTTTGCAACATGAAGGCCTCTGCTCACAGCCTGCAGAGGAATGATGGCAGTTCTGCACTTCATCAGCCAAAGGTTCCCCTACTCATTACTTTCTCTCTCACCTTGGCAAAAGCAGCTGCTTTTCAGTGGTCTGCGTGATGCTTTGCTGCAGCACTTGTTAATGGAAGGCAGGAACAAAGCATGTTAGCAGGCACAATAATTCCAACGTGCCCAGCACAAGGCATGCCCCAAAGTCCTCTGCACTCCCACATGCTCCCTCAGAGCCTCTGTCCTGCTTTCAGGCAGTGGGGCCCTGCAGTATATCCAGAAAATGCCACCAGGATGGTGGCACAGCCATGCTGCACCCCCAGAGCTGCCACCCATGATGCAGACTGGAATCCCTGAAGCCAGGCAGAGGCAGAGACTTCTGGGCCTCTCCAGAAGAACAAGAGTTCATTTCTCCTCCTCCTCTCCTGTTCTGAACTGAGCAGGGTGCCACTGAAACGTACTGTGAAAGGTTAGGGTGAACTTGCCCTCCACCTATCACAGTTTTATTTTTCCAGGTCACTACCACAAGTCAATATTTAAAGATACAAAAGGATCAAAAGGCAGATTGTTTGCACTGCTGTGACTATCATTTCTACATGCATTAAAAATGCAATAAATTAACTGCTGCCTTAAAGTGTGAATTCAAGAGTACTACGCTAGGACTGAATGCCACCAATATGACACTGGGCTTGGGATCAGAGTGCTAATTGTCTCACAGATTCCAGTATATCAACTTGTAAGTTTTGTGGATTCCTTGGTGAGGAATCAAGCCACAGCAGCCCCGTGTATCCCCAGTACCTGCTGTTTGCTTTCTGTATTTTGAGGGTCCACTTTGTAGCTGACTTGTATTATTGACTCCATCTTGGAGTCCAAGGTTCTTGCTTTGACTACAAACACGTCCAAGACAACCAAGAAGACTAACTCACCTCGCTCCATAGACATAGAAGCAGTAGATGTGGAAGGTCAGAAGTGCAATGATGTCAGAGAGGATGCAGAGAGCCACGGTCAGACCCAGACAAGCTGACAGACCAACGTACCAGAGGATCATCTCGATGAATGGGGACATCAGGTGAATGTAGCCTAGTGAACGTTGCAGTGTCAAGATTTCAGTGAGACATCTTCCCCACTCACACTTTCAAAAGCCTCATTTTCCCTTTGTCCCATTTCTCCCCCCTGTTCAAACATTGCTCCAGAAATCATAGCCACCAAACCACTGGAAAATTCCTTTGAATGGCCATTTTCTGCTTAGGAGAGCCAGCAAAAGCTCTTTCCCCCTAGGCTTACATCGAAGTATAGCAGCTATGTAAGGACAGGCTCAGCTTCAATAGATCAGTCACCTTGCTCCATACAGGATTTACTTCTTTAGATCTGCATTCAGTTCTAATCATATTTTTAACCACGCAAGTCAAGCTTTACTGAAGCCATCTCCTTCTCTTCCTGTTCCCACAAAAAACCATGACAAATGAATTCTGCAAAATAAAAATCTGGAGACATACAGTGTCTTTCATCACTGATGTGGAGCAAACTCAATATAATATCTAAGGAGTTTGTTCCCATCGTAACTATTCTCCTTCATCAAGACATTTATCAAGAATAACTGGGGCGTGTTACTTCAAGGAAGGAATACATAGAGAAGAGCTCTAAAATCTGTGTAGCAAGTCAGTGGTAGGGCAGGTTTGCATTTGCATCCAGAGAGCACACTTCTCCTTCTGATCAAATGCCATTTAGAGGGCAGAGCTGGCATAAGACCTAAAACCTTCTCTTGGACACTCAGTGCTAATGGCACCAAGTAAGTGAGGTCCACTGCGACTTGCACTTCTTGCAAAACATCAGGACAAGCACTTTATTTCATATGCATGACTTCCTTGTGTGGGAATCCAGCTCTGGCTTGAGTTCCCACAGCAGGAAGACTCACAGACAAGTCTGTACTTGCAACAGTGCATTTTGATTCATTATTCACCTCTAGGCAAACATTAAGCACTTAGGAGGGAAGAGATGAAAAGGGAGGCTGAAATGTTGAACAATTGCACTTACTAATCCAGAGGTGGATGTGGTAAAGGAAGAACCGACCCAGCACCTGATCCAAAGCTCGGTTCATTTTCAGTCCAGCTGGTGCCCCCATCAGCCACTGGAGCAGGTCCTGCAGCTCTTCAGCTACACGCTGCAAACACAGCAACAAGCACTGAAACAACCTGAGATAAAAGATGTCCATCACACCAAACAGGTCCAGTGTATGGAACGTGATGCCCTCCACCAAGTATTTTCACCACATCCTCCAAAGCAGTGGGCAAAAAAACCCAAACGGCTGCTCTGTAGACAACGACTTACCTTAGGAAGGCACCTTTATTAGCAAATGAGTTTTTACTGAACATGAACATAACAGCAGAGAGGAAGCTGAACTGCTTAAATGGTTCCAGTGCTGGCAGCATGAACTTGTGTTTGCTCATGGCCACGGCTGGTAGACTCACAGTGTGGTTCCAGGGTGTGCTTGAAATCCACAGCCAATGCTGGAGCACAAACCAACTTCATTCAGCAGACAACAGAAAAGTCAGAACTGAGGGAGTAATCCAACCATGGGGAAAGCAGTTGGGAATTATAAGGGGGCAGCGTGGAGTGTGCTCATGGACAAACAGGTGATTTTTCAACGGAATAAACTGTGTGTGTACAGCAGAATAGAAAACACAAATACGTAAACGTGGTTCAGTATAAACAGATTTCCTTCTACCCTGTGGGGCATTAGGCAAGATGAAACACAGTGTCCCTGGCATCCTAGAGAAAAAGAAGCCCTCAGTCATTGAGAACAAAGCTGATGGAGTTCATTCCCACATCACTGAAGGCTTTGACTCGCTCTTTCTGGTGATTTAATACCTGTTTACAAGGGTGGACAGTGGTAGGACAAGGGGGAATGGTTTTAAACTGAGACAGGGGAGGTTTGGGTTGGATATGAGGAGGGAGGAAGTTTTTCCCCCAGAGGTTGGTGAGGCACTGGCACAGGTTGCCCAAGGAGGCTGTGGATGCCCCATCCCTGCAGGCATTCAAGGCCAGGCTGGATGTGGCTCTGGGCAGCCTGGGCTGCTGGTTGGCGACCTGCACACAGCAGGGGTTGGAACTGGATGAGCACTGTGCTCCTTTGCAACCCAGGCCATGCTGTGATTCTATGACCAAATTATTGATGGACTTTCTCTCTGTCACACAGCAATGTGTGCCTGAATGACCCACCTACACTGAAATAAATGGTGAAGTTTATTCACCAGGCTGAAAACAGTAACCTCCAGCAAGCAGATGGGAACACACCTGGAAGAAGAGGCCTCGCACACTGTTCCACAGAGACTGTGAATGAAATTCCACCTCTGAAAATCCCAAATATAACCAGGCCCATGTGAGCTTCAGTGCAAACTGTGCACATGCAGCAGAATCAAGACCTGAAGCGGATGTGCTGCAGCCTACCTTCCTACCTTCACAGGGGAAATGTTTTCCAAGGACCAATTCCATTTTATTAACCAACTGGATCACTGCAATATGGGTTTGTGCTCATTTACTCTTAGTGTAGTGTAAAATTCAGAGCTCTACCTCCAATCTATCCCAATTTCCACTTACTAGCAGGACTGCCTATTTATTTCATTCACTTTCCCTCTGTCTCAACATCTCGCTGCGAGTCGGATCTGATTTGACCCCACAGATCTTACCTCCATGCAGAGCACCGTTAGCTGCTTTATAAATAGACTGGCTTTAATATTTAAAGCGTTGGATTTGTAACTTAGAAAAAGCATTTGAGGATTTTAATGAAATATTTAAATGCTTGAAAGCAGTCCTTCAGCAGCAAGGCTTGTTTTCCAGCACTGAATGCTTCTGGAGGTTTCCAGTTCCAGAGGTGCCACTAAATTCTGACAGTGGCACGTAGCTTGGGAAGGTGCCCAAGCCTCCTGCTATTTAGCTGGGCAGAGCATCTCCAAACACAGCCCCAAAGCATAACCTTGCAAGCTGTTTTGCAGCTGGATATTTTAGGACTGATCAATAGCAAGCAAAACAAGAAAAGGTGACTGGGAGCCTAATCCTCTCATTGCAGTCATGCATACTGAATGTGACCAGTATTAATAAAAGAGGAACAGTGAATTACATGGAAGTGGTTTCATAAAGGAGGGTAAGGACGTCACCAAAGCAGAGACCACAGCTAACATGGCTCAGATGAGGTGGCTGTGGAAATATTTCCTTTGCAGCCACGCTTTTCGTCTCCACACATGGTGTCTGATGGCAGTGTGATATGGATGGAGAAAGAGGAGAGGGGCACTGGAAAGTGCAGCATAATCTTCCTGAGTGGAGCATCTCGTGCAAGGCAGAGCAAGCTGAGCCCAGGCACTCCCCACCGGGCACCTACCTGTGATTTCACCAATTAGCATCTAAGAATATTTTCCAGGCTGCATCCTCTCTGCTGGCTTTGTTTATGGATTACAGAACAGAACTGAACAGGAACTCACATCCAATTATCTCTAAGCCCCAGCAATACTTTTGGAGGCAAGATCTGCGATAAATATTTACCTGTTTCAAGGAGATTACAGCTTAAGGAAAAGAGAGATCAGTCGGGATGCAAGAAGTGAAGGAGGAGAAAGAGAAAGAGGGTTTGTAAGCTGTTCTTCAATTTAAATCCAGAAAAACGAAGCACTTTGAATTGGGTATTTTTGTGGAAGGCAAAAACTGGGACTGCTGATGGGAAGCCTGGTGGGAGGGAGAGGAAGGAGGAGTTGTGAGGGCACCCACAGAGAGAAGAGCGTTCGCATTTTCCATGCTTGGTTTTGAAAGCCTGCTCCAAAATCAGCCCTTTCTATTGCATGCAGCTACACCCCGGTTACTCCCTAGGTGTCTGAATCACATCTGCTTCAGTTACCAACAAAAGCAACTTGTTATTACAGTCAGCACAGCACAGCTCATCAAGCTGTGAAAAGTGGGAGCTGCAGTCAATTGCTAGCAAAGTGCTGATTTGGAAACCATTGTATCAGGGCTTGATGAATGATGGCTAAGGAACATGGCTCCATCTCCGTCAGCAGGCTGGGCTTGTGAGCCTGGCAGTTGTTGAGAGTCAAAATAACCAACGTGCATCTGTTTCTTCCCTGAGATGGAAAAGTCTAGGAGTAGGAAAAAAAAGAAGTGCACTGTTTCCAACCCCCAGACAGCTGAAGGTTTATCAGTATTAATATCAATGAAACCAACAAGGTTTTAGATTATATTTTGTCAAGATTAAAATCAATCAAAGCCATAAGGTTAAAAAAAAGTTGTACCATATTATGACATGATTATTAATATCCATCTATCTATCCCATGTTCTGTTTACTAACATATACAGAGATGTAAGAAGGTCAATATCATCAGCAGGTCTGGGCCTCACCAAAAGCAGAACAGCAAAGAGCATCAGGGAAGAAAAAGGGAAAAGTAACTCCTTCTGCACATGGGAAAGTTAGCATTGCTGAACTTGGCAACACAAAGCACTTGAGAAAGCTCAAGTGATGGGAATAATGTGTACCAGATGGACACTCAGCAGCAAAATGGAAACCTACTGTTGGATGGCTAAGGGGAGATTTTGCTGTCATGCTGGAAAAGAAGTGGTGCTGGCTTGCATACCACATGCTGAAGTCATTGGTATATTTTGGGATTGCTCAGAACTGCATTTTTTAAGGCCTGCACATAATGCACATAAATCAATGCCCACCAAAGGCAGGAAAAGAACTCCAAGTGATTTTATGTCCACAATCAAATATGTTTGGAAGGAGAAAGCGAGGCCGGAAAGTAAGGGGAGTTAAGCGGCCTGAAATGATAAGCTTGGTGATGGAGGCACAAACGGACTGCCAGCCACCCGTACAAAGGGGAGTGAACTTCCAGGCAAGTAAGTAAGCAGCTCCTGGTGGTACTGAGGTAATGAAGTCTACACGTGTAGAAGGCTTGATGAAAATAAGTGACATTACGATATTTATGCAGAGTGACAGATGAGCTAAACTTCTGAGAGAGGAAAGAATGAGCAACTCTCACAAGCAAGCCTGTCCAGGCCAGGTGCTGGGATCAGATACACCTTGAGCACAGAGAAAGCCCATCTGCCAAAGACACTGGGCAGATGGAACCCCTCCTGGAGCCACCTGTGCAAACAGGAACGCTGCCAAGAGCCACTTCCTTGCAGACTTGTTAAGAAATCAGATTTTTGAGAGCTGGACACTTGCAGTAATCCCACAAGGAGAGCTTTAGAGAACTTCAGCTTTTTCAGCTGAAATATCTGTAAGGTAAGCTGAAAAACCTGAAGATTTAGGAATAAGATGTAAAGAAGATCTTTAGTTTATAGCTCAAGTAGCTCAGGAGCAAACGTGTTGCAGAAGAAATGTCCTTCATACCCCATCACTGCTGCTGAATAGGGTCTGCATCAATCCCTAAAATGTGCAATCCTCTAAAATCTGGCTAAAACAAATAGCAGAAACAGCAGTAACACGACCCACAGCTATGCTGGATCTCCAGACACACTGCACACACACTCTCTGGAAGCACAGTGTGCATGAGAATGGTCAGAGACGTGTGGCTTGTGACAACAAGAGTGTTAGACATGGACCAAACAGATCATTGTTGAGGGAACTACGATCTCCTCCCAAGAAAGACAGGACGAGAAGCAAAAAAGAAACTGCTGATGGAATTATCTAATCAGAATAAAATTCCTCCCTGGAATTTCCCACTTTGCTGGAGAAAGAGCAAAGATGATGACCTCCAGCTGCCAGAAAAACCAATGGAAAGATCCACAACCTCTCCCAGAAGTGTAGGAAAAGTGGGCAGGGAAAGTATTAAGCTGTGCAGCTCTATGGCAATGCTTGACCCTAGCTACACATGTATTCCCAAGACACAGAAGCTCTAAAATCAGAGCTAACTTTAGATTAATAGTCTGGCCTCCAGCCTCTGAAGTGCATTATCTGTTCCTTACTGCCACTAAACAGATATATTGGAGTGATGCACTTAAAGCAAGCCACCAGAAAAGCAGGATAGCATGAGTCATGCTTGTTCTTTGTGAATTTATGCTGATGCTGAGGGATCTCAGCGGGCAAGAAGAGTTATGTCTGAGAAGAGCACAGGACACAGCAAGTTTTTCTGGTTTACCATCTGCACATCAGAATTCTTTAGGATTTCAGGTGTTTGCATCCTGTCTAGCAAATGCCTTTGGATTCCCCATAATTTTCCTCTTCACTGGCACACTTGCATGCTTATCAAGTTTGACTTTTCAGTAGTTTATCAGACTCAGTGCAGGTTACAGCTGGCTTTTACCAAATACCCCATAAAGCAACAGCTCGAGGATACTTCTGTGAACTTGATAACCACTCCAACTTGCAGCTGCAGAACTCTGCCCAAGCCATAATTGTTACTTTGGGAACTAGAACAGCCCTCCAGTAAGCATCTAATTACTATTCACTGCACACTCAAAGCAGAGCTGTGTTCCTTTTGAGCAGCCCAGCAGGCTTGATTTGAAGATTTCACTGTTCTTGAGGAGACCGAATTTACATGACTTCGGACCAGACTCTCTGAAATCCTTGTGTGTAAGGCAGTGCCTCCTTACAGCCACCCCAGGCACCGAGAGCTGGTCAGGACCCAGAGAAGGTGAGAGAGGAATGGCTCCAGCCATACTTACATCAGCCACAGGGATGAGAGTGTCAGCAAGGTGACCGATCTGGTTCTTTCTGTACAGCCAGGACATTAGCAGTATCCCCAGAGCCACATCAATCAGCAGAGAGACAAAGATGTTGGCTTTCCTGCATGCAGGATAAAAAGAAACAACGTTAGAGCAAAAGGAAGGACAGCACCTAAGGTTTCACTGACAGCTGTTGGCTTCACTTACATGCTACCTCTCTTGTCCCAGGGACACTAGGACAACTTAGGAAAGAAACATGGTACAGACATATTTTGACTTTCACTGACCTGCTGCTACTTCTGTGGCTGAACACCGAGCCACTCTGAGCATGCCACACCATGAAACCTCTTTTAGCAAGGGAAGTGAATAGCAGGGCTGAAGCTACAAAGCAGAATGTTGGACAAGGTGTACATGTATACTCAGTGGGAATTCCACAATCCCAAGGGCACCAGCACTTGGAGGATCCCCATGGAGATCAGGTGGCTTTCCAAAAGATGTAGTTCAATTGCAGTCAATGCAATCAGTTGCATCCATGGGCATGTAAGCAACTCCAGCAGGGCTGCAGAACTGCCCCTGACTGCTAGTGGGTCTGAAGGAAATCCTATTACGTGAGTTCTTCAGGTTAAACAACCACAATTACATCTTCAAATCTGCTAATCTAAGTGTTCTCTGGTAGTCCATTTCCCCAGGCTCAGAGAACCACCCAGAACAAGACTTGCTGTGTAACTGCCATGGCACATTCAGTATCTGTGTCAGATCCCCGCCTCTCCTGTTCCACTCACTGCACTGCACGTTTGCTTTTTGTCACACTGACTTCCTCACTGCTTTTGGAGACTCTGATCTCCAGTTACTGCATGAAAGGAGCAGGTAAAAGAGGGCAGCAGCTAAACCTTTCTGCTCTTTTGGAAAGTACTGCTGAATACCGATGGCAGCTTTTGGTTAACCTTGGCAGCATGCATGCAAGCAATGAGCTTGTGGAAGTACTGACAGCAAGGCAGTATCCACAAGGGTGCAGTACAGGCTTTCTGTGGGCAAGATCCCAGCCGTCCTTCCCAGAAAAAAAAGCCCATGCCTGGCAAAAGACATAGGCAGGATAAAAGAGAGAACAGGGAAGATATCTGCAAAGTACCAAGGAGCAGAGCAAGCAAGGTAGGTAGCGAGGATCCTGCAGTGCTGTTCTGTCAGCCAGGCCAGTCTCAGAGCCCTGTGGCAGGCGCAGGACCCACGGTTTGGGTTCTCCAAAGGAGAGGGGGCCATATGTGTCATTGTGTGCATTCCATACCTCATTAGCTGGGTCTGGTTTTGAGCCTTCTTGCTGCTGCTGATGACCTGGAGGTGCTGCAGGCGGTGGCCCAGCTGCTCACAGGTTGAGAGCTTGCTCCACAAGAAAGACAAAGGCCAAAACTTCAGAACCCTGCAGAAACACAACAGGAACATCCCCTTTGCCTTCTGCCTGCATACTGTTTGTACAAGCTCCATGCAAAACATTTAGTGTAAAGTGAAGGTTGTGTAACCAGAAACAGCACTGACACACTCAACGTCAACATCCACTTCAGGCTCAGAGGGGAGGCAATACTCACGTGTTGTTTTTTTTCTTTGACTGAGAAGCAATGCACTAGATGGTGCTCAGTTATCTTCGCTGCCACACAATGCACAAAAGAAGGAACAATTTGATTTGCACAGCCCAGAATGACACCTGGGATACAGGTTTGTCAGAGAGCGCCCAGCAGCGGTGCAGTGACGCAAAGCACCACGGCTGCTGTGGGGAATAAACTGATGCTGATATAATCAGGATCACTTCTTTCCTGCCCACAACGGTCATTTCACTCACTAGAAATCCATCTCCACTTTCAGTTACCTCTTTCACCCACTCACTTGCACTGTGCTGGCACGCTCCTCCGGTTTACATTCCTTCCAAATGCTAAAATTATTCCTGGGATTCTGCTTCCCCTATGAAATTGGACAGCTGTTGGGACCATTAGTGAGTGAGGCCTGGAGACTTCCATGAACGTCTGCATGCCTCCCCTGGCCCCTCTGGGAGGAAATCAGCCTGCAGCATGGCAGCAGAGGCCTCCAGAACCAGCCTCTGCCTGCTGGTGCATTTTACAAATTGCAGCATTACAGCTGGTTCCAAATCCTGCTTGGTTTTGGTACGGTTGCTCTACCTTTCCTCCTCACACCTTCCCAAGCCCTTTTGTCCAGACTTCATGCAAGGTTCCTCACTTCAACAAACAGTGCTGAAGCCCTCTTCCCCCTCCCCATTCAACTTTCAGACACTGATTCCAAAATGCACGCAGCATACTGTGAATCATTCTTTTTAACTTGAGAATTACTCAGCTCTCCATCTCAGCCTCCCACCTTAGAGACAAATGAATGCACTGTTGTTCAGCTGACTTACTTCGTCTAAAGTGATGGAGAAAAGAGCTCCATACAGGAGAGATGCAGCATGGGCACCTGTGCTGCCCACCTCAGAGACCTCTGCAGACCCACATAGGCTGTGGACCCTTCCTTTCCTTTTCCTTTTCCTTTTCCTTTTCCTTTTCCTTTTCCTTTTCCTTTTCCTTTTCCTTTTCCTTTTCCTTTTCCTTTTCCTTTTCCTTTTCCTTTTCCTTTTCCTTTTCCTTTTCCTTTTCCTTTTCCTTTCCCTTTCCCTTTCCCTCTCTTTCCCTTTCTCTTTCCCTTTCCCTTTCCCTTTCCCTTTCCCTTTCCCTTTCCCTTTCCCTTTCCCTTTCCCTTTCCCTTTCCCTTTCCCTTTCCCTTTCCCTCCCCCTTAGCCCAGTGGCTCCAAGTCCCAACCTGGAAAACCTCTGCTACAGCACAGAATTGTTCCACTTACACTCTTTCTTTGTCAAGTCACTACGTACACATTCATTTAAATAAAAATACAAACATACTGCATAAAGCTTGATATAATAGCTGCAAGATGTGCTATGGAAACTCCCATCTGCAACAGTAATGAGAAAGAAAGCCAAAAATATTTCTTGCGTGGTCTCCTTCCCTATGCATAGCAGCTCTGCATCTCCGTAGATGCTCCCACCTGTTTGTCACACAGTATATGCACTGGTTTTTGTAAGTGCAATGGAAAACCAAACCGTGCACATAAAATATAAATGATTCATGTTTGCCTTATCTAAGCAGGAGACCTTTGGGGTACTTCCAAATAGAAGGAAATAAATTAACATAGCCTGCAGGAATAAATCTTCAGTTTCCAGTATTATTTTTTTTTCTTCCCAGGGCTGAGGGATTCTCCAGATATCCCAAGGAAAGCAGTCTTTGGGGCCCAGATCACACACAGACATTACAGCCCCATTAAGCAGAGCCCCCCGGCTTCTTTTTGCTCTTTCCTAGAAACCACAGGAACAAAGCCTCCCTTCTGGGTGAGGCATCAGACAGAGGTCCTGGTGTCATTAAGAGCATGGTAAGAGGGCTTTTGGAATAAACAGAGCACAGCATGGAGTTTATTACCCCAATACAAACCATCCTGCTGCTCCAAACAGCTCCCTGGAGCCCTGCCTGTGGTGGGGAAATTCTGCACGCTCTGAATGCTGAGCTGCACTGGGCACTGCTAAGCACAAGGTGGTGCTGAAGAAATGCTTTCATTTGAGATCAGAGCTCTGGTGAGGTAGGGTTGATGTCAGCGCTCACTTTCTCTGATTCCTAATGCTACCTCCCCATTTACCCAGCACAAACATACAGCACAGGGCTCTCCACAGCAGCTCCGGTCCTCTGCAGCCTGAGCAGATGTCACTGAACTCCTCCTCCTGCTCTTCAGATCCAACTGTCCCTTAGGATCACAGACATCTGGGGACAAAAGTGGTACTGCAGTAACTGCAGACAGAGAAGTTGTCAGAGTAAAGGGAAAAAGGAGACTTCAGAGCTGAGAACCCATCACCAAGCTGCCCATGGGAAGGACCTTCCTCTTCCCCAGGCAAACATGACCTGTCCACAAGGCACCCAAAACATGATGTGCCCCAGTAGCTCGTTTTCTCTAAGTCAAAGCCTGAGTGACACAAAACCTTTGAAGTGAAAGCAGGCACCCAAGAAGCCTCACTGGGGAATGGCTCCGTTACCAACCAGTCCCATTTCAGGCTGCCTCTGCATGTGGTGCTCAGAGAGGTCTGGGCAACAAGGCCTCCTCCACTTCCTCCCCCAGGAAGATCCAACCCCCACACAAAGCAAGGAATCCATCCAAAGCAGCTCTCCTGGAGCAAGTGGTGCTTCAGGAAGCATCCCTGATCCAACAGCAACACTACTGCACAGGGAGGAGGGGAATGGTAGGACGCTTACACATGCCATCCTTGAACCCCTCTTGCACTGCAGATACTGGCACGATTCAGCTGTACTACACCAAGTGGTAAATGGAACTAAACTGCACTGAATGACTTAGAAGGTCATAGAATCATAGAATCATAGAATCACCAAGGTTGGAAAAGACCTAAAAGATCATCCAGTCCAACCGTTCACCTATTCCCAACAGCTCCCACTAAACCATGTCCCTCAACACAACATCCAGTCTTTCCTTGAACACCCCCAGGCTCGGTGACTCCACCACCTCCCTGGGCATCCATTCCACTGCCTGACCACCCTTTCTGAGAAGTAACACTTCCTGATGTCCAGCCTGAATCTCCCCTGCCGTAGCTTGAAGCCATTCCCTCTGCTCCTATCACTGATGACACGAGAGAAGAGGCCGACCCCCAGCTCACTACAACCTCCCTTCAGGAAGTTATAGAGAGCAATGAGGTCTCCCCTGAGCTTCCTCTTCTCCAGGCTGAACATTCCCAGCTCCTTCAGCCTCTCCTCATCAGCCCTGTGTTCCAGACCCCTCACCAGCTTTGTTGCCCTCCTTTGAACACGTTCCAGGGCCTCAATATCTTTCTTGCAGTGAGGGGCCCAAAACTGGACACAGTACTCGAGGTGCGGCCTCACCAGGTCGAGCAGAATCTATGTCATAAATCAAGAGTGATACTTGAAACCACTGAAAAATATCATGCAGGTGCTACAGGTGAATAAAACAAAGCAGAAATAAACCTCCATCTATGTCCCAAGGTTAAGAACGAATTCAGCTCAGGTCTTAAGCACAGCGAGCCTTGCATTCTGCCTGCTGATATGTGCAGCTGGCTGCTGGCAAAGCTGCTGCTTGGGCTTCAAACATCCACACTGGGCTTAGTAAAAGCTGAAATTATAATGGCTGCTGATAAACACGCTGTGGCTTTCTGTGTCCAGCCTGCCAGGCTGCAAGGAACAGGCTCAAACTCCCATGTTATGCTTGGGCTATGGCCTTTCGGAGAGCTGTGAGGCTTGGGCTTAAGCTGACCATAAGTCTGAACCCCAATGGGCCTGGATAGAAAAGGATCACCCTGCTTGTTAGTTGTTGAACACAGCCCATGCACAGCCAAAAAAAAAGAACCTTCAGAGCTGACTTCAATACCTTCTATCCAATCACAAAGCTCTGCCTTCACTTCCACTTACAGCCAAGTGCATGGTCAATATCTTACAGCCACCCCAGCAGGCCCTGGTGGCTCCTGATTACAACAGGTTGTATTGTGACCCTAAATCTCTTCCAGCAGAGTAGTCCAAAAACAGACAGCTTTCCCCTCATGTACCAGTGCACATAACCCAACTGCTCAGTAAATCTCTGCATATGAAGAGCTGTGCTGTAATTTTTCATGACAGCATCATACAATTAGAAACCTGCTAAAAGAGTCTGCTCCCCATACCCTGAGGCTGCACTTGAGAAGATTTAACCATGACTACAGCAGTAGCTGTTATCCAAATCTGATCAATCAAAGTGTCCCCTTGCAGCTTGGAAGCTGATTTGCAGCACCCGCTCTGGCACGCTGGCACTCACCAGGCTGGCTGCTGGCTGACCAGCCGTGTTATTCAGCACTGGATGCAGAAGCTCCTGCCCTTCAAATCTGCTCAGAATTCCTCTTCAGAGCACATACTTGCCACGCATTACATTTCAAGCATCCTACTCAGTTTCGCCGTTGTCACAGTGGGATCCCACCAAGGCGTCACACAGACCAGCTCTGCCTGCAACCTCCTATGAGATCCAAGAGGTGATGGGTTCAGACATACTATTAAATGATGTATTCAGTCAGTGAGGTTTCCACAGCAAACAGGGACTGAAGAGTCTCAGCTATCCAGCCATTAAGAAAACCCTCACATCAGTCTGCCAGCCACGTAATAGTTGGAAAACCATTTCAGCCGTGATGAAACTGAAGCGGGACTGAGGTACCCCTGCTGCACATGGGCAACGGCTCACTGCCTCCCCAGAAAACCTCCCCACACCTCCAGGTGTCCGAGGGTTTCTGCCTTGTGCTTTCAGTGGAGCTCCCCATGCTTTCAGAGCAGCTCTGCAGCAGCCTGCTTCCAACAGCAGGTTTATTGAGGACATTCTCAGCCTGCTGTTGTGCACAGAAGCTGACGTGTGACTGGTTAGCATGGGGTCTGCAGATGTGGTGGGACTGCCCAGGACATCCACCAGACTGACCCACAACCTGCCACGGTTAGAGAGCATGAGAGGAGCTGTGCCACAGCTGGCATTGCCTGTCACCATGAGCCCATCCTTTTGCACACTGCTGATCTCAGAGATCAGAAAAGTATTCCTCTTGGCTGCCTGCAAGGTACCTGAAACTAGAAGCAGCACCAAGAGATGCACTGTGACTAATACTGATGGAGTTTTAGCAGGAACCTCACAATGTTCTGCAATGCCTACACACAAAAACTACATCTCCTCACCGAATGCAAGCAGGCTGCAGCACTCACCTGCTGTTGCAGACCCCAGAAACAAGTGAAAGCAGGAACGTCAGCAGCATGCAGGCAGGCACTGAGGCCTGCTTCATCAGCTCCACAATGATACTTGCTTCAACGCCATCCGACTGCCAGTGGGTCATCTTAATGGGCCCATCATCGTACCTGTCTGTCATGAAGAGCACCTTGCTGCTTGCAACTGTGTTAAAGATGGCAGAGAGCTTGGAGGCATCCTCTGCCCCGAGGTCAGCCGTGTCCAAGGGGGGGTGCAGATGGGACAGCATGACTTTACGTTGGTCATAATACACTAAGATGATTTCTTCTTCTCTGTGGTTGTCAGACTGTTTCTGAAGGGTAGAACAGTTCCAGAATTTGCTGTTTCCCTCTTTGCTTATCTGAATCCATGGCTCATGAGAAAATATCGTCCCAAGGTCTTCCAAGAACTCACTCAGGCTCTCTTCTTTCTCCTGTTTGCTGTTGTTCCATGAGCCGAGCACAGAAATGCTGACCTTAGTCACCTGCTGGACTTCCCTGAGATATTGCTTCACCTGAACAGGAATAAAGGGGAAATGGACCACGGCGAGGATAACAGCAGAGCTCTGTTCTGGGATCCAGCGGCCGATCAAAATGCCGCTTTCTGCCGAGGAGCAGCACGAAGGAAAGAAGACCTTAAGGACCATGCCAGCAATCCCTGGAGGATGGGACACCTGCCAACAGACACAGAAACAGAATTTGGAGTGGTGATTAGATGCAAGGAAAACATGAGCTGGCCAAAGTCACCAGCAAGGAGGTGTCCTGTATCAACCAGGAACCCAGAGCTGAACTCGGTAACAAACACACTGAACAGCCCTGGCCACAGCACTCATCCCCTCCTCTCACCTAGAAACAAAGACAAGAAGTTTGTTGCAAGCAGACTACAATGACTGACTGATTGAAGCTCACAAAGTAGCTTCAATTCATTAGATGCAAGATCCCAAACCAGGAGAGGCATCTCTGCTTTACCAGTGCTCCGTACCTGAAGTATTTTTCTTGATGTCATTAAGAAAATACCTCAATGGCTTTGTAAGACTTTTATTAAAAGAAGCTTCAGGGCAGCTGACAATGTCTCTTTAAATAAGGTGAAGGTTTCTAACAGAAATATAATTGCTGTAAGGAGAGCGCTCGCACACAACAATCGGCATCTGGCACCCGTTGTCCTTTTCTGTCCTTCAGTGCTTTGTTAGAGATGTGAAAACTCCCCAGCCCCCGAGGCTGGCTGCTCTGCGAGGGACCCAGTCAGTCGGAAAGAGAAACGGAGTGTATTTATAACACGCACAGAGGATGCACAGCGCGCAGGTCCCTGTGGTTTGGTTTCTTTCCTCCCTTTTTAATACAGGACAATTGATGGAGTCAATCTCAGCACTGGGCAATCTGCAGTGGAATGGAGTAGGCGATGGGGCAGCAGCAGAGGCATGTGGTTAAGCAGCTCCCAGGCCCACAGCCCTGCAAATATGGCTCACAGAGGAGTACTGAGAAGCTCACCCCAGGGCATTCCCTCTATCAGGGTGCTCAGGGAGGTTCTGCTGCTGAGCACAGCATCTGCAGGTACTGGGAGCTCCGGCCCATGGGGAGGGCAGCTTTGGGAGCCCACACAGGGAATGATGTCTCCTCCTCTATGACCAAGGATAACTGTAGAGATGTGGAGCCTGAGAGCATCTTGAGGGAACCTTTAATAATCTGTATTTTTTTCAAAGGGCTTTGAACCTCCAGCAGATTGGGAAGGGAAAACATATCAAAAGTAGAAAACTAGGAGGTGTGACATCCTGAGACTGGAAAGGTGCAGCATAGGGCATGAGAAAGATGAGGGAACTGCAGTCCAACTGAGGAACAGCATCACCAAACCCTAGCAATCATTAGACCCAAACAGACTCAAAAACAGGACATCCTGCTTATCCACTCCTATCGACACAGCCCAAATGAGGGTGGTTTTGCTGTTTGGGGTGGAAAATCATGAAGACAAAGGACAGACACTCAATTAGAATAACGCCTGAAATGCACAGGAAAACAGTGAAAACCAGCTGCCAATTAATTAGACTGGTCCTAAAAAGGTCTAAAATAAAACCTGTCCCTGCATCACACATTTGTTTCTTTTGGAATGAAGTTGCTGCTGTGCTGTTTGCACAAGCACCGTCCCTTTGCTAAGGGTCACATACACCCCACGTAGAAGGAAATAAACCAGGGGCACGACTCCCACCTCGCACCCATACCTCTGCAGCCAAAAATCGAGCCCCTCCTGCTCGCACAGCACACAACCAGCAGACAGCGACAGGACGAGGGGGAACGGCTTTGGACTAAAAGAGGGATGATTTAGGTGAGATGGGAGGAGGAAATCCTTCACTCAGAGGGCGGTGAGGCGCTGGCACTGCCGCCCGGAGCTGCGGGCGCCCATCCCTGGAGGCGCCCATAGCCACGGATGGGTCCTGGGCAGCTGAGCTGTGGGGCTCAGACCACGGCAGGGCCTTCCTTTGGTGACAAGGCCATTCTACGCATGCCGGGCCGCTCGGGGCGCGCAGGGGACGAAGCAGCCCAAGCTAAATCCCTGCCCGGGAACCCCGAGCTCTTTCCGCCGGCCTCGGTGCCGCCGGGCCTGGAAGCGCAGCACACAACTGAACGCGCCCGCGTCCCGCCCGCAGCGCAGCGCTCCCCGCCGGCGGCCCGCAGTTGTAGCGCCCCCCCGCCCCGCGCCGCCCCGCGCCCCGCTCCGGCCCAACGCCGCCTACCGCTCCGCGCCGCCCGCTTCCGGGTGCCGGTTGCTCGGAGACGCCGCCTGCGCACCGCGCTGTGCCCGGCCGGCCCCGCAGCCCGGCGTCCCGCGTTCCGCCCGCTGCGCTGCTCGTTTCGCCCCTCTCCCCAGGCCCCGCTTCGCGCTGGGTTTCCAGGATCTCGCCCCTCAGCACCGACCCGAGGCGTCCTCGCAGGGCTGGGAGCCGTGCGGTGTAACCCGCAGCTGCTGCTGAGCCCGTGAGATAAGCAGCGCCAGCGCTCCGTCCTGCTATCTCTCGTGGCCACGGCGCTCGGCTCCACAGGGCCTCGCGGTGCCTCGCGGTGCCTCGCAGCCTCTCCCCGCACTCTGTCCCTGGCTTACCCTCCTGCTGACCAAACGCGATGGGAAGGGGCACCCAGTGGGGCGTGCTTGGGATGCGGGATAAGAGCCTTTGGCAGCGATGGGGCACAGATCGCAGCACTGTGTGCACAATGGTGCACCCAGCACAGCCAGGCTGAGCGCCCTGGGAGCCCGGAGGCATCAGCTGCAGCCTCGGAGCTGTGGGGCAGCCTGCACTGCCATAAGCCGGAGCAGGAGAGGAAAACAGCCTTCCCTGTGCCACCACACCTTGCCCTCTCTCTGCTGATAGCGACGTGGCTCCTGAACTCTGCAGCCCCAATGTTTTGTGAGCAATGGGACGTGCAGATAGGAAACGCGCTCTGTGCAGTAGTTGCTGCTTCCCTGTAGAGGTCAGGAATGTGGCATGGAATTTGTTACCTTTCTTTTAATGTTCTCCTGGAGGGTACTGCAAACTCAGCTCTGTCCTGGCCTTTACCCCTCTGGCTGTGCTCTGCCTTGGACATCAGGGAGGCAGAAGCGTGGCCACGTAAAATGGGTGTGTGTGGGAGAGAAGGAATTATTTCATTGGAAAGACACACAGGAGGATGGTGGTAAATTTCCAAAGCACCAACTCACCATCAATTTTATAGAACCAGAGAATCTTTCAAGTTGGAAGGGAGCCATAAGGACCATGGGTACCAACCCCTGGCTCCACACAGCACCGGCCAAACCCAAACCCTCTGTCTGAGCAGTGTCCCATTGCCCTGGGGAGGCTGTTCCATGCCCACCGTCCTATCTCAGCCCTTCAGCTACTCTGGTGGATCCAGGAAGGGTGGAGCTGAACCGTTGTCGCTGTAGTCCTTGTTTCTGCCATCTGGAAAAGCTGAATGGCAACAAGGTGGTTGAGTGCAGGGACAACAGGAGCGCCTCCATTTGCAACCCACCAGCGGACCCAAAGCTCAGCAGGGTTGTGGTGGAACCGGCCCCACTCTGAAGGTTGTCACAGGGTGCCCAAGGGCAGCCGGGGCCTCACGTGGTACTTGAAGACTTTCACACAGTTCTCACCTGTGTCTGCCACGAAGAGGTGCCCAAAGGGGGAGCAGGCCACGCCAGCCGGCCTCCGCAGCCCTGCAGACACCAGGCAGATGGGAGCCCCGCTCTCTGGGAACAAATGGACGGTGCGGTGCTGCTCGTCTGCCACCACCACACTGCCTTCTGCATCCACACACACCCCCGCCGGGTTGCCAAACCGGTGTCCGTATTTGCTGCTGAGGGAGCAAACGAGTTTATGACTGCTCATGAACACCTTGACATCTCCGCACTCCTCGCTTACCACAAAGCCTCCATGGGGTGCCGGGCTGACGTAGCGAGGTCCCTGCAGGTTGGGGACTGAGCAAATGTTCAGTGTCCTGAAAGCATGGTCCAGTGCAAAGCTGCAGACTTGGCCTTGGGCGTAGTCTGCTACTAAGATCTTGCCTGTGGAGTCCACTCCAACACCCCTGGGGGAGCCAAACTTCCCGATCTTTATCCATTCTCCTTTGGAGGGGGTGGTGTGAGGATTGAAGACCCAGACAGCCCCATTTGTCATGTCAGCTACGGCCACCGTTCCTGCCCGAGTCACAGTCACATCCTCCGGCAAAAAGCTGCCACCTTCCCTCCCCCTTTGCCAGCAGGGCAGGGACTTCAGCACTTGGCCTGTGCTGCTGAGCACGTGCACCCAGGGAGCACCCTCGGCTGTCACATAGATGGAGCCATCCCGGGAGCAATGGATTCCACTTACACACCCGTAACGGCTGCCAGTGGGGTTGGGGATCTGCCGCACCAGCTCATCCTGACGATAGTGGAGGAGGTTCTTGATGTTGTCCAGGTCTCTACACAGGCTTTTGGTCTTGTCTGCCAGCTGGTGGACTTGGAGCTGTGTCACCATGCCCATGCCCTGCTGGCTGCTCAGCAGCGGGCCGGCAGTCTGGAGAGTGGTGTTTGACTTCAGCTGAAGGGTGTAGAGGGCTTTCAGAAGCTTCTCCTTCTGCTGGCTGGTCTCCAGAGTAGAGTCCATGATGAGACTCTCATCCCTGTTTAGAGTAAGTGGAAGGCCTATTACTGACTGATCTCTAGGGACATGCCCTGAGCTCAGGTGCTTGCTGAATACACAGGACCAAGGTGTTGGTGCTAGGCTGGATTCACGCCAAAGCAACAGAGAACAGCTCAGTCCTGCCCACTAATTATGTGCTCAAAACGTACACAGGGACAATGGTTCAAAAATCAAAGGGAAGCAAAGCTGGATCTGCAACCAGAACAGTGCATGGGCTTCAATGCCAGTTTGAGTGACAGATCTGTCCTGAGGGTTTACACAGAAGGGACAGCCCTGTGTGTAAGTGCACTGGGTCTGAACTCCATCTCTCCAGTTCTTAAGATCAGCAGCTTCTCTCAGGTCCTTCACACTTCTTTACCCTGTTTTCTTTAAGCCATATTTCCCCAAGCCATGCTCAGTCCCTGCTTGCACTGGCTGAGGATAACTTTTCCTCCAGTCCCCTGTGGGTCAGATTTCACACCTGGCCAGGGTGTGTGTTTGCTAAGGGCAGCCTCTTTCCATCCAAACCAATGTATTCTGGAAACAGCCAATGCCTTAGCAGGAAGAAAAAGAGAGGTATTGCTCTGATTCAGCCTCCACAAACATTTCAGAAGTGGGTTACACCTTCTTTCAGATGTGAGAGCCAGCACAGCAACCACAATTTCTCTTTTACCCACGCTGTTTTACAGCCACAGATACGAAGGTTGGGTCCTGCAAAACCCGGAGTCTACAGCCCTGCTCTTCAGCAGAGAGGAGCTGCTAAGAGAAACGTGACCTTGGTGAGGATCCTGGAGAGGCAGAAGTTAACCTTGCTTTAAATGTTCTCATAATTATTGTTATAAAGGACACATTCAGCTGTTCTGTTTGCAAGCCACTGCTCCGCCTTGATTGCCCTGCGTCCCATGCCTGGCTGCTGTTCTACACTGCCTGCAAGAGTAATACTTCCCCAAGCCAGCACTGGAGGGTTGTGCTGGGCTGAGGCATACTGGGTGTATCCTTCCCAAATGCAAACACTGCAAACGTCTGAAACATCATTCCCCAAGTATCTGCAGAAATCCCCCATCTGCAGAAATACCAAATGCAACTACATGAGAGTGAGTGTGAATCCGGCTCCTGTTGGATCTGTGGCTTGAGGACAAATTTCTCATCTTCTTCCCTTAGTGCAGGGGAAGTGTGCTTCAGCCCCTGACAGCAGGGAGCTGAGAGATGGCACCAAGCCTTCCTCCAGCCCTCACACTGCTGATGCCATGGCGCATCGGGGTCTTCCTGAAGAACTGAGCAGAGCTCAAATCCAATAAACTGGCTTCCAGAGTTGGTAAAAAGCAAGTCACTAGCCAAGAGGCTCAGCTGCCAGCCACCACAACCCCAAAAACACAAGTGGCCACTTTGCTGGCCGTGACCCCACCCCCAGCACAGCTCAGTGACTGCACAGCCAGGAGCCCAGCTCCTACCTCTAGTCTGGATGTCCTGGGGCTGCCCGTCCTTCCCAGCAATGCTGCCCTCCTGCTGGCTCTGTCCTGCTCCCTGGCCAGGCTTAGGGTGGTGGGGCTGATGGTGCTGTGTGTGTTGTTAGTGACGGACAATTGCCCTTGAACGTGGGTAAACACAACAGCTTCTTGTGCTGACAACCAGAAGCAGCAAGACAAGGGCTGGTGCACCCAGTTTTTATTCCTTGCTGGTCTGGTGCCCAGACAGAAGGTGTCTTTCCTCCAGGATCAGAGGAGGAAAGGCCCCAAGGTGCCCAGGTGCAGTGACAATTAAGGGCTTTACTGCAGAGCTTCAGACATAGGGAGCAATATGCAGCACCTGAGTGAAACATCCTTTGGGAAGTGGGGTGGGGACAATCCTACACCTTGGGTCAGGACTCTTAACTTACCTCACTGCTCCTCCACGGCTCCCTGTGTGCTCCCAGCCTGGGTCACGTGCAGTTGGGTGCCCCAGTTTATGGGAGGAGATGGGGATTTTGGCAGGGGTCTAATGGAAACGCTCTTTATCTCCATGTCTGTCAACCATGGCTCCCTGCTGCTGTGCAAGGCTGTGTTCTGACTTGGAAGTAGCACTGATTGGTTCAAGCAAAGATGGTGAAGAGTAAATGCAGAACCAGTGAGGTCCCACCTGTAAGGCACTGCTCAGCACTGGATTTGTGTAGTGTGGGGTCCACCCTGGCCAAGGACGAGTTCAAAGCATCCACCTTAAATGTGGCCAAGGTTTTTCTTGGACTTAATAATGTTTGTGTCTGTCCGTTACCCAGATGAGCCAAAAGCAATGAAGTTTGGATCAATCTCCCCCATTTTTCCATCTTATGGAGTGCTTGGAGGCAGTTGGGCCCTGCTGGCAGTAGGGGCTGCAGGATGGGGAGCTGCCTCCGGAGCCCTGGGCTGGGAGCCCCTGATTTAGTGCTTGGGGATCTTCTGGTCCTATCAGTGCATCCCTGAAGCTCACAAGGTCTGGAGGGCTGCTTCAGGCCTATTACCAGACAAAACTACAAAATAACCTGACATGACAAGCACAGGGGCCACTCCATCCAAGTCCCAGCAGGACATAGGCAGCTTCAAAAACCATCTCCCAGGGCAACAGGGTCTGACCTTTTGTTTCACTGTTGTGTGCTCCATCACCATGATAAACAAACACAGCCTGGCCCTGGGGCTCCTGTTCACCTTTCCAGGACCGTGCCTCTGTCACAACCCGTTTTGAAGCCACCCCTGGACCTCAGGAGGCACCTGTGTCATGGTACAGCCCGTGCCCACGCCAACACTGCGAGCTGCAAGGTTCAAAGATGGAGGCATGGTCTGGCTGTCCACACTACAGATGTACCAGGTGAGGAGAGCTTGGGTGCAATTCAGGTTTTCCCAGAGCGTGGCACTGGCAGGCATTAGCACTGACCTTCAGCCCTTGGGGTTTTTTCTCCCCTTATCCCAGGCCCACGAGTTCTGGCCTGAGTGTGCACACGGAAAGCTCTGTGCCCAGCGGATGGGGCACAACACCTGCCTATCACCATACGTGTGTGCTGGGTGGCTCATCCCATGAGATTGCTTACCTAGAGGTAGAGTTGTGGAAAAAAAATAACCCAAACTTACTTAGAACACATCTGCAGGGATGGGGGAAGGATAAGGGGAACGTAGATGGCCATGGCATCCATGGAGGGTTTCAGTTGCCTTGGAGAGATTTAGGCTGAAGGCTGGGACTGTTCTCAGACAGACCTGAAGTAGAACAGCAGTGTCTCAGACTGCTCTGAGAGCATTGGTTGGGAAACCCTACAACTGTCCTGCTCCTGGCCACTGGAAATATGTTCACCCTGTGAGACACCAGAGTCCCCATTGTCAGCCATCTAACCTATGGAGAAGGTTCTGCAGTGTCTGATAGGGACTGAGCTCTTTTGGCAGAGCAATAGGAAAGCCCCATCCCTCCTCTTGCACAGCCTTTTCTCCCCCACGAGGCTCACCAGAGGATTAAGAAATTAATCCAGTTCGGGACATCTAGCTCTGTGCTGTCTGACCAAAAGGGCCAAAGGCAGTGCAGATCAGTGGGCACCGGCAGAAAGCCCCTTCCCTGCAGCAGCAGACCCATGCGCTGCCCCTTCCTCATCTGTCCCCAAGCTGTGGCAGCCCAGTGCTGGGCCATGAGAGGCTCCTAGGGTGGCACTGGGCCCTGGTTCCTGGCATCATCTGCATCCCCTGGAGCAGAGGGAGGCCCACGAGAGGCCCGAGGGAGACCTGCTCTCACTCTCTCTCTTGCTCACGCTTTCGCTTTTGCTCTTCCAGGCTGCCCTTGGGGACCACGTGCCCCCGAGCCAGACTGCGGCTCTCCTACATACTCCCAACATCACTTTCAAGTACTTAAACCCTCCCTGCTTCGCTCTCTGAGCCTTTTATCCAACTCCAAAGCCAGAGTGGTTCTGCCCTGGGCAAACACCCAGGGAACTAATCTGTTCACATCCATTCGGAAGTATCCAGGAGCTGGGAAAGGAAACCTCCAACTGGAATAATGGATGGGCTGGGGAAGAAAGGCAGCAGGGAAATGTTGTCGGCTTTTCTACTCTTTTTTTTTTTCTCCCACATAACTGAAGAGGTTGGCTGCCTCCCCCAGCTCACAGTTCAAAACCAGCTCCTTGTTCCCTCCTGCTCAGACAGAGCAGCTCTGCTGTAGGTTGTCTCAGCAGCTTCACGTATCTGCTCAGAAATCTCCTTGCCGACCTTGGCCCTTCTTTAGTCCACGTTCGGTAACTTTCCACTGCTCCGAGCTCTGGCCTGCCCGTGTCAAGTTAGGAGAGAACTGGTTGTGCTGGGCAGGAACCACTTCTCGTGCCCAGCTGGTTCCACCTGGGATCCCACCGCTATGAATGAGTGCCCAGCATCCCTACCACATTGCACATGGTCCTACCATGGCACAGCCTGCATGGCCATCCAGCAATGCTCCAGGCCCAGCTCATTGAGCACAGGGCTATGCCTGCCTCTGCTTCTTGTTGCTGGTCCTCGTGATCACAGCCAAGACACCATGGCTGGAAAAATGGGTTGGGATGCAGCAATCTCACCCATTGCATCCCAGCTCTGTTCCCAGAAACCCTGGAGCCACGTCCTTGTGCCGGAAGGTTGCAGAGCCATAACTTCCTCCTGCACAAGTTACCCTGAAGCTTTGTCCTTTGCCTGAGAGAAGGCTTCCCTGGGGGGTTGTTTATTAGAAAACTTCAAACCTCCCCCCCCTCCCTTAGCTGTCCTTTGCTCTTGAACCCAGAGGAGAAGGAATACCTGAGCAGGAGCAGCTCTACCCACCCAGGGTAAGAAACCCATAAAAGCCGTGCAGCTCCATTGAGCAGGAGCTTCTGGTCTCAGTGCTGAGCCAAGGACCTGCTGTGACCCAGCGTCTCTCCGCCACGCAGAATCGACCAGGGAGGAATTCAGCCTCATTCAGATGGGTCCTCCGGGGAGTGATGGGATCGAGCCTTGGCACTGCCAAGGAACTCGGGGGGATGCATGAACAGGGAGGCTTTAGTCAGCCGTGACAGAGGAAGATGGCTATCGGGTGGGCCTGCTGCAAAGGGTGGGTAATGGCCAGCCATCAGATGCCTTTAGGGTGACCAAATAGCCGTGTAATGGGCCCCGCGCTGGAGTGGGCTGAGGGCCCCAAGGGCACAGATTGCAGCCTGGATAAAGCACCCTGGTAGTTCAACTCCCATCCATTATTTAAATGCAAAGGTAAATGCTTCCACCTTTGGAGCTGGAACAGTGCCACAGGCTGCTGCCTCCTGGAGGCACTCATGGCCATTGCAGGAGTGCCAGGTAGCTACAGCAGGCAAGGAGGGGGTTTGTCCCCTTTGCGGGGTGCCACAGGCACCACTGGGGCAGGGAGGCTGGGTGACATTGAGGACGTGGGACTCAATCCCACACCTTCCCTTCTGCTGCTTTCCACACTGGCACTCTGGAGCAAGAGATGCTAGCACCGTCTTGCCAGCTCTGAAGACAGTGACAGCCAAACTCACTGTCCCCATAGCAGCTGGCTTCAGTCATAGCGAGGGGACAAACCCTCAAAACCCAGAGATGCACGGGCACTGGGATGGAGAGCCCAAGTGCATGCCCTTGGCATCAACACAGCAGACAGCAGCAGCCCTCGGAGGTTTTTCTTTTTAATGGTTTGGTTTTCGTTTTGTACATTCGTAAAACTGTGAACAATAAATAGTGTGTGGTTGGCCTCTACGTCCTGCCTGCTCCCCAGCTTTCTATGGAGGCAGGAGAGGCTGTGAGTGATGCAGCGAGGGCTGCGGGCACCGGCTGCCACCCCAGGCACCGGTGAGCAGGGAGGGGTCCCAGATGGGGGAGGTGGGATGGAGCCAGGGACTGGTGTGGGGAGGCAACCCGTGCTCGAGCAATACATCAGCTAAAAGGGAGAAAGGCAGCACTGTGTGGTGGTCTGGGAGCTCGGCTCCTTCACTGGTGTCTCAGACATCCAGGATGCCCAGGATCTGCTAGGAAATGCAACGTGCTGCTTGGGGCAGGGAAGAGATGGGGCTCTGGAGTGAGCACGGGGACCCAGAAGTGCTGTTGTTCCTCAGAGGAGGTAAGGGATGAGTAAGCAGGGATGGATAGCACAGAAAAACAAGACTCCAGCCTCTGTGTGCTCTGCTGGGGCAGAGCGAGGGTCCTGGCATGGAAGAAGGTATGGGGGAAAGAGCCCTGAGATGGGGAAAATGGGGTGATGCTGTTATAGGGGAGATGTGTGGGACTGAGGGAGACAGGAAAGGGTGGATTGACAGGAGGGGCACAGAGCAGAGAGAAGAGGCTGGAGAGAGGTGGATAGGCTGCTGGGAGTGGGTAGTGTGAGCAAGGTGCTCGGTATGGAGGGGGCTGCTGCGCTCATAATTTTACAGCATCTGAAGATCACAGCACTGTTCAAATCTGGAAAGAAAGGCCCAGCTCTATCTCTCCTGGGCTCCAGAATTGAGGATCCTGAGCCCAAGCTCTGGGGTTTCTTGTGGCTGGGTCTCATGGCCGCCACTGGTCTGATGGAGCCAGAGCCATGCTGGAAGCAGCAGGACATGCCTCATCAGGAAGACCTGGAGCTGGAGCTGTGGAGCTGAGCTCAGCAGTGCTTTCCTTCTCTGCCCCCCTCACTTCTCCAGAGAGACCTTCGGTGACCTGTGTGCTCTGAGCAAAGTCCTTGAGTGAGAAAGAACCCCCTTTGACGTGGTGGGAACCTTGTCCAAAGGGCCGTCAGGTGAGAAGAGTCAGCTTCTTCTGCTGTCTAGGTCCATCAAAGTACCTGGGAGGCTGCACATGGGGCCTTGCCTTCTTGATACTCATGGCAGCACTGTCCACCTTGTGCCCAGAGAAGTGCCAGTGCTTAAAGCTGCCATGCTGTGCTGCACAGGCCCCTTATTGGCGGCTTTGCTGTCCTGTTTGTCCTGCCATCCCCACCCCTCAGCTGGGCTCTCTCTTTGCAATCCCAGCCACAAGTTAGAACCTTGTGCTAAATGTGACCCCACCATTTCTTGAACAGTGTGTGTGGATGAAAAAGGGCTGAGGAGAGCACGTTGTACCCACCATGGCGGAAGGAAAACCATGAAAAGCCTGACCCAGGCACGGGGACTTCTCGACCCCAAGCAGACCCTGCCCAACATGGTGGAAGGGGACAGACTGATGGTTGCTTGGTGTCATTCCAGCTTGGGGCAGGCCAAGGAGCTGCATATCCCAAAATTCTTTTACAGTTGTCTTCAGCATCTTTGTGTCCTGAGCAGCGGAGCTCGCAGCACCACCATCTCACCCCTTTTACAGTCCTACCTACCATCATTTGGGAGTTTAGGACTAGCGGGCAGGAGCTCTTAGGGGTGGTACCCTGCAGGAACACGGGCTTTTGTGAGGAGCATGCATCATGTCTGCATGAGGAGAGGCCAAGGGGACAGAGGAAGGGAAAGTCATTTCTGTGTAAAGGCAAGAACGATGGGCAGGAACGAAGTGTGGAGCCACGCTTTGAGGCAAGGTGGCTATTGCATCTTGTTGTTGTGGCTGGGAAGATGTTCTTGTCTTTACAGTGTGGGAGGTACTCGGCCTCTGGGTCAGTTCATCTGGGCAAACACGTCCCTTCTGTGACCCTGAAGCCACCGTGGGATGAAGCTGTCACAGTTCTGCTCTGTACAAAGGTGACAGCCACAGCCTCTTTGAGCACAACCACTTCTGGACCCAGGTTTGTTCTTACAGACACCCCATTTGTGGTCTCCCTCCCCTGCCATGGGAGCTGGGTTGCAGAAGTCCCTGAGAGTCTCTGATGAGAAGGTTGGATGAGCCTTTAACAGAAAGCTTGTTGCTTTTAGCAGCTCGCATTTCTTGCCTGCTAGTGACTTCCCTTCCAAAGGGAGCTCCAGGACCAGGGAGCTGAGGCTGTTGAGCATGCAGAGCCCAAAGGGACAGCGGGGAGGGGGTCACGGGCTGGTTTCTTACACTTTATGGAGTCAGGCAGTGGTGAAGCTTTCATCTGTGGGGAGGTGGGACACTAGGAAGGTCAAGCATGAGGTGGCCAGTGAGATCCAGGAGCTTTCAAGCCAGGTGGATTTAGGGGTCGGCATGCAAAGGGCTGTGGGCACACACCGCGTCTGTCTCAGCGGGAAGGCTGCAGGACAGGGAGCGCTGCACGGCCCGGCAGCCCAGCGGCCCGTCCTCGGCGGTGACGGGGAGCGGAGGGCCCTGGGTGGTGCCGGATCTGCCATCAGAGCACAGCAGGACGCTGGAGTCCGCCTCGCACTTGGTGGTGCGGCTGTAGTAGGGCTCCATGACGTGCCGCAGCTCCAGCGGCACGGCGAGGGGCAGCACCTCCGCCTTGATCACGGCACCCAGGTGGGGCTCGGAGGAGGATGCCCGCAGGCTCTCGGAGTGGCTCATCTTGATCAGCAGGTCGATGGTTTTGTTCTCGGCCTCCAGGAGGCAGCTTGGCAGCCCCTCCTCGTCTCCAGCCTCGGCTGGGGCTGAGCATTTGTTGAGGGCCCCTTGGTCTTTGCCGTGGAGCTTCTCCATTCCCAGGCCTACGCCGCACGTTTCCTTCTTGGTCTGCGGACACTTCTCCAGGCCCTCGGAGGATCTCTTCACCGAGAGGTCCAGGGGCCCCTCGTGGGGTTTGGCGGCTCTCTCCAGAGCCTGGTGGATGTGGTAGAGCTCCCTTCGGATTTTGACTAGCTGGTCCCTCAGCTCTTTTTGCCCAGGAGTGTCCTCCTTTGCCAGATCAGACAGTTTCTTCTCCACCTCCTGGTACTCCTCTAAGGTTTTGGACAGGTCCCCAATAAGCACGGTTGTAGCCTCAGAGTCTGTCATGGTGGCAGAAGGTTCTTGCGGTCTGCTCTGCTTGCAGAGGCCGTGCTCAGGGGCAGCACCTGCGCAGGGCAGGCCTTCAGGGTCTTTGCCCCTCTCAGGTTCCTCAGGCCAGCCTGCCAGGACATCCATGTGCCAGTGATCCAGAGCCCTGGGGATGTGGCCGGCATTGGCCCTCGAACCACTGCAGAAAAGAAACGGATACAATGATTAGGGAGAGCACTGGCAAAATCTTTGGATATGGCCAGGACCAGCAGGTTCAGCATGAGCTCCTCCATGCGCGCTGCCAGCATGAGGACCTTCCAGGAAAGGCTTTGGTCTGAGCTTGCAGAGATCTGGCTGGATCTGCTCCTGCCTTTGTTCTCCCAGGGGAGAGATGGAGCCTAAAACAGGCTGTTTTGTGCCTCATCCCAACACAAGTCTACTCTGGGAAGATTGTGCTGGCGAGCGATGCCAGCTCAGATGGCCAGACTTGTTTTCTCTTTCTCTTTGGAGCACTGAGGGACAGATGGACACACACACTAATGCGTGTCCAGGTGCAGTGGATCTCTGCAGCCATCCTGAGAATGGCGAAGAGGCAAGTGCAAGTAGAAAAGCATAGAGTGCTTCTCCAGAGAATGCTCCTCTGGGTGCCAAAAGCTGTGGTTTTTGCAGTGACATTTTTCTTGGAGCCACAGCTGGACTTGCACAGTCAGGGGAGGAACTGAAATTTTGTTACAAGGAGCTGTGCACATTTCTAGCCCCAGGTAAAAGGAAATGTTTGGAAGCGTGACCCTCCCTCTGGGCTTTGGAACCAGAAGGCAAATCAGAGGAATGCAAATGTGAATGTTTAAACGATTGTTCCAGCAACTGTGAGACACTTGGGGACCCAAAAGAAGATTCCTTGGTGCCTGGGGAGGCAGGTCCACGCTGCACAGACCCCACTAGTTCTCTGCGAGTTGGGGGAAATCCAGGAACAGCAATGACACAGCCCAGCTGCTTGGATGCACCTGCAGGGCCAAAAGCCCTGCTCTGGATGGGTGCTAACTGCACTGCTGGCTTGGAGTGAGCTGAGCTCCTGCAGCACCTTGTGGGAAGGGGTCATCAGGGACACAGCAGGCTATGAAGATGGTGTTTAAGGGCCAGATGTGGAGAAGAAGGAGACCGAGGACACCTTACCTGCTCTGATAGCTGACTTTTCCAGGCATTAGCATTTCAGATCCTATCAAATCCAGATCATTGGAAGGAAGCTTCCTCTTCAGGTTATTGCCTGTGGGACTGCTGTTCTCCAGGCAGGTCACTGCTGTCAGCTCTGCCTTCTGGATGCTGCTGGGGGCAAAAGTGCCATCCTTCATCCCCACCAGGTTTTGGAAGATGTCAGTGGTTGGCTTTTTGCGCAAGTTGTTGAGGCCCAGCTCTGGGTTGCTCTCCTTCTCTTGGGACAGCCACTTATCTTCTTCCTGCCCCAGCATGTGTCCGTGGCTGAGCTCAAGGGCTGGCTCCTCTCTACCACTTTTGGGCCAAGGAAAACTCGGTTTCAGCACCGGTACCTTCAATAGCCCTGGTTTGGAAGGCTCACTGGGGGTCTTGGCTTGGGGAGGTGTGGGCATGACCGAGCCCACCAGCTGCTGGGCCTCTGGTTTGCTGGATGACATCTTGCCTTCAGTGGAGCTGAAGGTGTGCTCAAAGAGCAAAGGGTAGTAAAAGCGAGGCAGAAAGGCAGAGCGCTCGGGGCTCTGCAGGGGCTGGAAGTGGGAAGTATGCGGGTGCATCAGCTGGGCCGTGGAGGCCAGGAATGGCAGCTGAGCCAAGTGCGGGTGTGTCGTCGCACTGTTGGCCATGGTGGGGCTCAGGTAGGAGAACAGGCTGGGGTTCAGGGGATAGTTGATGCCCAGCAGTGAGAGATTGAGGCCCTGAGGTTCGTGGTAGTCACTGTAGGCTGGAGGTGGATAGCATGGGATGATGTTGCTGTCGGTACAAGGCGGGGAGACCTCAGGTGTGCTCCTCCTTTGCCCATTTGCCACCAGTTTCCACTGCTCCATGAGGATTCCACCACTGGCCAGGCATTTCTTTGGCACTCTGCAATGCTTTGGCTTAGCTTCTAGGTCCGGGGAGGCCATTTCTCTGCTTTTCATGACGTGGTTCTTGAGAGAGAAGACATCCGTGATGATGAAGTCGGGCTCCACCTCCTTGCAAGGCTTATCTCTCTTGTTCTTGAAGCCAAAGACCAAAGTGTTCACTTCTGGTTCAGCTGGATCACCTTGGCAACCTGCCTCTTCATTTTTCTCCTTCTTTTCCCCCGCATCCATCTGCCTCAAGAGGCCAGCCACGTCCTCCTCCTCCTCTTGGAACGGGCTGCCTTCCTCCCCAGCCCCTTCGGCAGGCAGGATCTCCACTCCTGATGCCGTCTTCTCCTCGTGGCCAACCCCGCCAGGGGTCTGCTTGATCCTGCCCGACCCTCCCGACGTGGCCGAGGAGTCGCAGGTCTCCGGCTCGTCCTGCCTCCCGCGCAGCCGTGTGGCCTCGGTGGCGTGCAGGAGCCGCAGCTCCGGGTGAAGCAGGTTGCCCTTCTTGTAGGGCCAGTCAGACTCGATGAGGAGGGAGAGGGAGTTCTTGCACAGGCTGTACTTCATGTGGTTGTAGAGGTGTGATTTCTCCATGCACGTGAAGGGGCACTGGAAGCACTTGTAGTTGTAGGGCTTGCCCCATGGCCTCGGGATGTAGTGGGGCTTTTTGGGCTTCCTCTCCTTGTGTTTGTAGACGGAGGCCAGCTTGCAGCCCACGTCGTCCTTGGACATGGCAGTGGGTGTCTGGTGATGGCTCCTGATGGGAGCAGAGGGGCTCAGTGCCTAAATCTCACTCCACCTCCCCAGGAGCTTCTGTGTGCCCTGGAAGGAGAGAACATGGGAGCTGGTGAGCTGTCAGCCCTGCCAAGTCCTGCTTGTATGTGAATACAGTCAAAGAAGGTGTTCGGACAGACAGATTTGGTGGGGAGAAGCTACAGACAGACTGAGTGTACCCCATTCATTACGGGCAGCAGCATCTGCAGACTGCCACAGGCACCTGGGACCATTGAAGTAAAGGAACAGTGTGGTCTGAGCCTACTGGGGAAGTGAAGGCCACAGCTGGGCAGCCAAGACTAGAGCTGCCAGGGAGCTTCAGGCAGCCATGGGCATTTCTTCCCACTGGACTGGTGTGCACCCAGCCCAGCCCAGCCATAGCCTGGCTGCAGCGCTTGAGGGCTGTTTCAAGGTGGTTGCAGTCTCAAGCATTATTAGCATTCACAGGCACCCTCTGCTCATGCCTTGTTCCTACAGTGGCCCGGCAGACAGTGCCAGCAGCCCCAGCTGCTGGCTGCTGGGCTGGAGGATGCTCTGTGTGCTGGGGGACTTCCCTGTGCTCTGCTTCCTGCGCTTTCACCACTGGGACCATAAAGCATCACATTCCCACATTGCATCCTGCCCTCTTCCCCAGCACCATTCCCATCTCCAGCCCCTGAGCCTCACACAGATTCATGAGCCCTGGTCATGGCAGCATCCCAGTGCCACACTGGAGGGCGAGGAACATGGAGAGGCCGAGCGGGAGCCGCACAGCACGCTGTGTGTTTGCAGGTCAGTTGAACAAACATTTGGTGTTTATACACCAGAGGCAGATTAAATCTGTGCTGAGAGACTGGAACTGGTTGTTCCATTCTTGCATGCCCGACCCTCCTCCAGCAGTGCTGCAGAGGTGCGCAGATGCCATGGAGCCGTCCCACATGAGGACAGGGAGCGACTCCACAACACAGCCAAGTCCACCTCCCCACACCGCAGAAATGAATGGCAAGGCAGGGAGCAGGGCAACAGACAGCAATGCGATGGGAGAGCGCCCCACGTGAGAGCCAGGGGCCAGGGGAGGAAGTCTCAGCGCAGCAGAGGCATCCCCAGAGCTGGATTGGGCTCTGCAGAGCTGGGAGCCAGGCGTTGCGGCTCCTGGTTGCTGAGCAGTTCCCGCACCAGCAGATCTTCGTGGTCTGTTGAGTCTCGCTCTGCCACAACGCATTATTTCCAGTGGGCTGTCAGCTGCGGACGTGCGGGGCCGTGCCTGGGGGCAGCGCTCGGCGGGGACCGCGCACCTGTGCCTGGGAATTGCAGCATCCCTGCTCTCCTCCTCAGGACATGGGGAGGGGGGCATGGTCAGATGGAGGCAGTGGAGGGGCGAGGGGAGAAGAAAGAGATGGAGAGACAAAGGCAACGAAGGAGGGAGAGATGCTCAGAAAGGGGATCTGCAGTCCCCAGCACTCCAGCGCTTTAAAAATCCCAAATCCAGCCTGAGCTCCAGGGATAGAAGCAGTACGTAGAACTCTAGGGGCAGCTTGACTGGATCACATCAACAGCCTGTCCAGCTCATGTCTCTAACAACAGCCAAAAGGAGGTGCCCAATACGTAGGGCAAGCACCTATGGTACTGCTCCAGTTTCCCAAACCCTCATTTCATCTCCATATTGGACATGGTGCCTCCAAGAGCAGCACGCACCAGTGACCCTCCCATCTCTGGAAACCGTGGAAATATCCAGCCCCCAAATCATCCTGCAGTGGGGATTTCCCCACCACGCTGCTCAGAGTGCTGCCTGCTGAGCTGGCCCTTCCCACAAATTTCCTTTGACGCCTCCAATTCTGTGGCTCGCCATGGCAGCCCTGCTTCACCACCTCCTTTCCAGGCAGAAGGTGAGCAAGCGTAAACTGCTGCAGACCTCTCTCCCTATACGTAGGCATAGCCATGTGCTCAGGGGAGGGAGAAACATAAAGGCTGCCAGAATTGAGTGGCCTGGTTCAAAGACCAAAGCACGTGTCCACTGGAGATGCCCTGGCACTGTGAACGTGTCCTGATACCTGCTTCTGAGACCCCCATGAGCTTTTCTGGTTGGAACGAAGACCCCATGTCCCAGACTGATGTCCTCCCTTTGCCCCTCGGGTCCTGCCATGCTGCGTGTGGGCTGCCAGGGAGCCACAACACATGGACATCAGTAGCCATCAACCTTTCCTAGCTGGGTGTGAGACATGGCGTGGAAGTAGGGGCATGGGAGAGATGCTGAGCTTCCTATGGTCTCGAGGGCTTGTTCCTGTCCTGCAGGGGGGACTTCAGGGATGTGTTACCCCCACAGCTACATTCACTTGGCTGCTTCCCCCTGCATATTCAAACCACTTGAGCTCCAGAGGCTGAGCATCACAACAATCTCAGTGTTCCCTACTGCCATTTGCCAGCAGCGGTTTCTGTAGCAGGGAGCTGGCTGCCCAAATGACCACGGATGGTCACCAGGATGGCACAGAAGGGAGCATGGGGGGCATGGCTTTCCTATAGGGTGTGACACGCTGACAGCCCCAAAGACCACCCCTTTCCTGCGATTACCCAAAGCCTTCTGTTATAGTGCTTGCCATTTTCACCAGTGCTGAGGCTGGAGCAGGGGTGGATGGCAGCGGCGAGGCACTGATCAATGCAAAGCACTTTCCCTACATGCTTTTGCTGCAGGGGCTACTTAGCGGATATTGGTACCCTTTTTATTTTCATAGCCTGGGGTTGCACGATCTGAGCTTTTAAGCATTTATCAGAGCCTGGGATGAGGGCAATTGGCCGTGGCAAAGTAGCAGGTGCTCAAAAGAGGGGGGAAAGCCTGGTTGATGGAGGCCTGGGAGCTCCCAGCCTCCCCACACCTCACTGAAATGCCCACACTTGCAGTTAAACTGACAGTGAGAAGTCATCCTTTGGTGTCCCCACGTCAGGAGATTTGAAACTATTCCCACCTTGAGATGTGCCTTATGCCGGCTTGGGCTACATTGAAAGTCCTCAATCTCTAAATAGATTTTCCACCTTTATGTACCCGAAAGTGCTCTATAGGCAAACTGTCCAAACCCAGCTCTCTAAAAATTCACCACCATTTGGGTTTCCAGCATTTTGGGAGCTCAGGCGGTTTGGTTCCCATGGCCCCATCTCAGTGAGCACCTCTGCTTCTGCCCACCCAACATCAGAGAGTCCTCCAGACTGCTCCCCACAATGTGCCACCCCCAGCACCTTCAGCACGCAAGTCTCGGACCCAAATTGTGGCTCCAAGTTTTCTCCTCCCTTTTTTGCCCTTGTTCAAGAAGCGTTCTGCATCTCCCACCTCTCCTCTGCCTCCATCCCCAAAAAGCAGCCGCCTCTCCCCGCTCTGTTAGCCTGAAGACTCCCTGAGGCAACCCCAGCATCCTATGAGAAGCACACGCGGTGGCAAGCATTCAACCAAGCGACAATGGGTTGGAGTCGTCGTCTCCTGCCCTCTGCCCATGGCACACAACTCGAAGCCTCACGGAGAGATGAGATCAGGCCGTGAGAGCCTCCAGGCTACTCTCCACAGAGGCGAGTGCCCTCCACCGCAGTGGCTTTCCTCCCACAGCCCTTCCTGCCGCAGCCCTCTGGGGGAGGAGGCAGGTCCTGGTGAGGAGATGTAAGGCTGTCTCTGCACATTACATCAACCACCTGCACAAGCTTGTGCTTGGCCCCCGCTGCAAGATTTTCCTGCTCCTTCGTCCACCTCCACCTCTACCTGCTAATGGAGCCCCGGGAGACCGCAGGCTCTCTGTGGGATTTAGTGGCTCCTTTGCAAACAGACCTCCAGACGTGTGAAGACATCCATCTCCAGCAGCTGGATAGAGAAGAAAGTGACTGTGTGCAAGCCACGAAGCCAGCAGTGTGGCTGGCACCCAGGAATGCACAGAGGAGATGGTGCCTACAGCTAGCATGGTGACTAAGGGGAGAGGATGAACATCTGGAGAGAGCTGGGAGGGCTTGAGATGTGCACGCATCTGGATATGAAGGTACAGCACAGCTCTCCTACGTGGTGAAGTCTGCATCATGCCCGTGATGCTCAGGGCTCCCACCTGCCAGCCTCTAGGGTTGGTGCTGGGAATGGAAGCTCCTTCCTCACGGTGTCCCAGCCCATCTCCTCCCCTGTGATGCAGCACACAGGCAGCAATGTGGGGTTCAGCTCCACGCCAGTTCCCACCATCCCATTGCCAGTCATTCCCCCTAGAGGAGCAGCTGCCAGCCCACAAGGCCCTGGAGCCTGCTGAGGGATGGAGATTTGTCTCTCAGCACTAAGAAATGTTCTCCACCTTTTTGCTTCCCACGTATCCTTGGATATTTCACACTTCTTAAATGCACCAGGGAGAGGAAGGATAAGAACTGAATGAGATCTCCTCTCTGCTTTGCTCTCGCTGGCCTGACAGAGCTGAGCTCCTGCAGTGCCATCCAGGGCTCCCCAAAGCTGTCTGGCAGTTCCCTTCCCCACAGAGCCTCTCACACCCCATGCTTCAGCTGGCTTTCTTTCTCCCACAAGCAGCGCGCTGTGTGTATGAGCTGCTCAGGTGTCTCCCTCCTTTCACAACCAGAAAATTCACTGTATTCCAGTTCAAATCCATGCAATTTGTTTTGAGGTACAAAGCCTTCGCTCCTCCTTGCCTAGCCTACCACCTCCCTCCCATTCCAGACTTCTTCTGCTCCTATACATGCCCATTGCTGTACTCTCACCTCCTTTCCTTCTGCTGAAGGAGAGGATGGGCCCCTGGGCAACTGGATGGGGCTGTAATCATCCTGATCATGCCGGGGGAGACCAGCCCATGGCACGGGGTTGGAACTCGATGGTCTTTTAAATTTTTTCCAACCCAAGTCTTCCTATAATTCTGTGATGATTCTATGATTCTGCATTTCTACTCAAGGCAACAGTGATAAGTTAAATAGATATCTGGGGAAGGGGGTTCTTCAAGTCCTCAGTATGCAGCACATACTGCAGCACCAGTGCTGAAACCTAGGCAGGGGCCAGTGCAGACTGGAGCCCACATCCCAAGAAATCCAGTCCAAGCAGCTCCAGTTTCTGA